TAAGTCATAGAATTTAAAAGTTATTTCAAAAATAACCAGTCAAGAAAAAAAAATTAATTTGAATCAAGAAAATAATTTTTTTATCTTGATTAAAAACAATGAAACTCTTCAAAATTGTTTTCTTATCTCGAGAATTATCTAAAGAATAATTATGTTCAATTTCATTGAAATTTGTTAATTAATTTTATGGAATTTAGCATCATAAGCCGTGTTGTAAATACATACTTTTGACTAAATGTATTTTTCAAATTATAGCTCGACAAACTAAATTGAAAATTTTTTTTTTTTAATTCTTTATGAGTACAAATGCAATAATTAAAATTTTTTAAAAAGTACTAAAATTGATTAAAGATATTAATAAATGCCAAACAATGACTGACAGATTTAACAAGTGTCGGACTTGGCATTCATTTATACTACTTGCATTCAGTAATTGCTCTAATATACACATTATCAATATTTATGCGGACATAATTCATAACAACAACTAAATTACGACGGTGTAAGTGATAAAATGGATAAATTATGTAAATATAATAGTTCAATTAATAAATAATATATTAAAACTAAAAGGATTTATTAAACGGAGCGTGATGAGAATAATAATAATAATACCTCGAGTGTTATTTTAGATACAATTATTGAAGAGACTAATTGAAGAGGATCAGGTTTCGTAATTTATTTAAAAGGCCCATGAACCATATACCTTGTGTGATAATAATAAAAATAATCCAGTGGATCGCTCGTGCCCTTCTCAGGCGCGCGCGCGCGCGCGCACGGAAGCGTAAGCGGACCGAAAGTGAAAGCAACATTGAACCTTTTTAATATGTAGACACATAAAGGTAGATACGAGAAAAAAAAAAAAAAAATAAACAAAAATTAAGAGAAAAAAAAAAAAATAAATAAAACAGAGCATGTATGGGTTGAGCGGTGCTAATTTATTCGGATTGTTCCGACAAAAGTAAATAGATATTATTTAATGAATTAATGATAGTAATGAGCAATGAATAATAATGAAATGATATATATTGATGATCGATTTAATTAGATATGCTCGTATTTATTTAGCGATTGTTGCCGCTATGCGTAATTAAATGAATTATTTTAATTTAAAAAGTTTAACATCGACATTATTGAATATATAGACATTCCAATTCCAATAAGATGTATATAGCTGTGTGTTACTTATATTAAAAGTATGCGAAGATAGTATATGCATATGTATATATGTATAGAGATACGACCGGCCTCGAACTCACCAATACACCAGAGAGTCCATATAATCTCTTAGTTTCAAACGACATAACACGATCGTCGCGGCATTTATACACATCAACACACATTACACACATTTACACACATGCCAATGCTTTTCATTATTTTCGTATTAATATATAAATAATTCAACGATTTTTTTATTAAAATTTTTTATATTTATGTTTTTATTTTTATATTCTTCATCGTAAGGTGTTTTTTATCCTGTTTTTATTTTTTTTAACACATACTTATGAGTATGATGTAAGAGGAAAATTCATTCACCTCTATTAGAAGTGCGCAGTTGATCTTGCGGCGTATATTAGATTACGAAAGATTTACGTGAACCTTGATAGGTGTCAATGGCCCTTTGCTAAAGAAATATATATTCAATATTTATATTTATATTAATATACACTACGTAATTAATGATATCATCCCGGAAAAAATTTCCATCGTTTAAATATACGCAATATGGATTGGTTAATAAAGTCCTGTACTTGTCGGACATTTTTTTCACACATTTATTACTCAATAACATATGTATAATATTTATTACTTTATTTTTTATTATTTCTTCTTTTCAATTATTATTTATTTTTATGCATTTTTATCATTATATTATTATATATTCTTTAAATAAATCAATAATTACATAAGATTATTAAGGTAAAATAACAATAACCACTCGGGCAATTATCATAATAATAATTTTTATTTATCAAAATATTTTTATTGTCATTTTATGGCCAATAATAGATTTTCTAATTTAGTTATCACAAGTCTAAATAATACATAAATAGAATCATCTGTACATCAATAAAAACAAATAATTATACATTATTATTTATAAATACATATTTTATTATTACAATTACAAAACTCGGATGTGTCAATCGTTGATTATTAACTTATCAAAATTATATTTTATTAATTAATAGCAAATGAACACATATGGACTTATTAAATGAAAAAATATTTTTTATTTTAAAAGTATAAAAAAAACAAGTTGCGGATTTCATAAATTATAGAGCATTAATTATTCAATATTATTATTTAAAAAAAAAAAAAAAAAAAAACAAAAAAAAAAAAACATCAACAATTCTCTTATTGATTGTCTCTTTTTAAACATTAAATGTATCTTTAATTTTTTTTTTTTTTGTTTGTATTTTTTTACTGCACCGTCTCGCGCGTGTACTCAGTTACAAACACAGAGTATTTCGATATATACATATATATATTCACGTGGCAGACGGTCCGACCTCACACGCGCAACATATAAACGATAAGATTGGTCAGTGAACTAAACAGACTGCATATTGAACTTGAGGTAATGCGATAAACAATCAAAAATATGACCACTGCTTGTATCACGACGCGACCTATGTACGAGAATAAACAATGAGAATTATTTTAAGAACATGAAACTTTTAAAGCATTACACAAAAAAAAAGAAACCGTGCAAGCTTGTGATACTTGTAATAATAAATAAGTATATCATTTAAGTGATCAATGTATATGGATGTGTTTATGTATATAAAAGAATAATTTGGTAAGACTAAATAAGGATAAAAAAAAAAAAAAAGAAACAATTTGTGTTTTTTTTCTTCGGAAAAAACCGCAGGTCAGTCTTATTATCATATTGGTTATACAAAAATAGCGCATGATATTACTGTCATCATTATAGTGTTTTATATACAATCTATATATGAGATCGCGCACGCCCAACTGGCAGTTATACTTTTGGCACATATTTTCGCGGTAATAATAATAAAAAAAAAAAAAATTAAATAAAACAGATGCGATGAAATGTTATCTCTCATTCTCTTTTGCTCTTAATTTTAACTTATAAAAAATCCGCATAGTTATATATATATATTTATACGTATTATATACAAAGATGATGCTATTAATGTACAAGTAATTAATTATTAAGATGTTTACTATTAAATAAATTAATGTTATTAATAATAATAATAATAATAAAAAAGATAATTATTATTATTATTATTATTATTATTATAATGATACTGTCTAAAATTAATTATGATAATAAATAAATAATATGGCGGCGGGTTTACAACGAAGGCGCTGACACATTTTGGTGTTTGATTTGTACTGTTTGTCGCGCGCCGTCGAAAATTGTTCATCTTCTCATGCACATGCAATAGACATTCATGCTTGACATACACAATGCATCCATTCATCCACACATCTATCTATCTATCTATAATCTATGAAACTAACTAGTACTATCTATCTAACATTATCTCTTGTCAATTTTTACTTACGATCACATACGAACAAATATATCACACATTCATGGCTCTGATTGTAAATGTTTTTTTTTTTTTTTTTCTTCTTTTTTTTCTTTCTTGCCGTCTGTCAGAAATAGCTAACGCACGGATTAGAATTTTAATGACTGCCGATATTTCTCAACGGGCTGGTGACTGTTTCGTGTTGAAAATCCGGAATGTCGAGGTGTCTCTGCGCCAGACAAACTTTGAATGGATCAGGTGTGACGGTGACACCGGCGTTGCCTCTTAAACTGGGTAGCGAGGCGCCTTCTGGCAATTTAATGTCAAAAGTGTGAAGAAGCGAGCTGAAGAATAGGAAGAGCTCCATACGGGCAAGAACGTCGCCCAGGCACATTCTACGTCCCACGCCGAAGGGCATAAAATGCTCGGGTTTACAGACTTTACCCTCTGCTGAGAGAAACCGCGCTGGTCGGAAGTCTTCTGGCTCGGCCCACAGATTCGGCTTTTTATTATTATAATATTAAAAAAGTTTAGCAAATCCAAAAGTGCACGACTCATAATGCTCATTCGTTCGATAAATAAAAAAAAAAAATAGTTAATGTTCTTAATGAATAATTTTTTTTAATTTTATGTTAAATGTTATTTTATTTTATTTTTTTTTTTTTTAAATATTACTTTTGCAATTTCCTATTTTGTTGTTAGCTACTTATTTTTTTTCTTTTTAATACTTTTAAATAGAATTTCTTTTTTTATTTATTTTTTCATTAATTTTAGTTTTTCGTTAATAACAAATAAACAACATTAAATAAGATGACCATCTCCATTATGAGTCGTGCAATTATGTTATACCGGATTTTATTTAAAAAATATAACAAACTTATCTTTTTCAGACGTAAACAAATGGGCCCACAAACTTGCCGAAACATTAATCACCTGTAACTTGACATCCGCATTATGTAAGTATTTTATATCCGCGTTCATTTGTTATAGAATGTTGTATGTTATGATACATTGTTGTATGCTAGGTATGTAGTGAAGTGTCAAAAATACCTTCAGAAAATATGAATTAGTGGTTCAATGCAAAGCGCGATCAAGTATGTTGTTGAGGAGAGTACAGGCTTACAATGATTTAAATAGGTGTGTATTATTACAATAATACACCAATAAATCTAGCGGGCACAGCTGTGGATTAACGCGTATTTAATGCTTTGAGAGTAGCTGCTGCCAATCATTATTGTCGATGGGCTATGTAAAAATAATCAAACCAAGTGATAGCTGTTTAGTATCACACTTAGCATACTGCATAGAGTATGAATTTTTATAAACTCCAGTTTTCTTTAACATTCTTATCATCATTATTCATAAAAATTAAATTTATCATTTGTAGTTGTTCTTGTTATGTTATATCATTATTTTTATTTTATTTTTGTTATCATAATATTATTATGTATTTATCTATTACAAAAAAAGTATTAATTTTATTTTAAAATGGTTTGCGGTTTAGATAATAATTGTGACATAATAAACGTGCTCAAAAAGACACTGATAAATGCCGGAATCAAATTTGGAAAAGGAATTGCCGTTTTGGTGGAAATATTTCTCAAAATCGCTATGCTTAAACCTTGCCGAGAACAAATTGCATTACAGCCTGGTCAACTCAGAGTAAGTTTTATTTTTTTTATTCATCGGTGTTTTATAATTTATTATGTACGTATACTTTATAAATAATAATGATGATAAACTTTGTTTTTCGAGAAGCTGCCGACAATGATATCCGATTGCTCATCATCGGTACCAGATTACGGCGCTGACGAAAGCAGTGCAGGTGAATACGTTACTGCTGATGATGGATATGAAGCGGATATTGAAATTCCAAGTAAGAGTTCCAGAGATGAAGAAAGTAGTAATCAGCATAATAATTTACCCAAGGGGACGACGAATTCTTTGAGATTTATTTTCGACTCTCGAGGTGGACATATCAACACCAATATTACTGCTCATCCAGCATTGTGCTCATTAGCGGTTGACCTACTGATCCAGTTTAGTGAACAGTAAGCCCGATTTAATTATTTTTCTTTTTTATCATCGTATTGTTATTCATAAATATAAAAATAAACATTAATACGCTTCCATTTGCAGAGGATTAAATACTGAGAGATGCATTATTGTGAGTCAAGGACTTAGGAAGGTTGCGGTTACTTGTCGAGAAAGCGTATCAAATTGCGCTGCACTTGCAGGATCCGGGGTCATTGCCAAATTGTTAAACGGATTTAGACAAATTTTAATAAGCAAACATCCTCAACATCAAGGTACTGATAATTGAATCTATATAGTTATTTATTTTGTTTAAATAATTATTAATATTTTGTGAATTTTTTTAGATTTGCAACAAGCAATACTCCAAGTCTTTACATTATTAGCCACTCAATCAATATCTCCAGACGAATTATTGCTCTATTTTTCATTATTTAAAATTCAATCTCCACCTATGTTGTCTCTCTTACAACCACTTCATCGATTAGTTATAAATCTACAACCCCAGCCAAATTTTATTCTCTCATTTCCGCTTGTTTCAACACCGAGCCTATGCAAACAAAGCCCACGAGTAAAAGAAGAATGTAAAAATATCGAAAAAGTATCTAATACTGTCCACAATTATCGTGAGAAACATTTATCTGCGGGCGTTTACAGTCCTTGGTCAGTTCACGCTACATGTTTACCTATTGGCTCAGAATTATCGTGGTCTGTGTGGTTGCAAGGATGCTCGGCTTCAATGTGGATACGAGTTGAACGGGGAGTGCTATTGGGCTCAAGATTAACAAAAGCTAAAACTTCTCCTATAAATTTGTTTAATTCTGAAAGTGATAGTCTATCTGAATGGGGAACCGCTATTTTATCGGATAACAATTTTTGGAGCGGTGAAATATCTGGAGAATCAATATCTTCACCGCCACCCCTAACTACAATCGTTCATTTGATGTCTATTGGTTTTGAATCACTGATACTGGAAACTTGGCTGGATTTGCGATCGGATAAATTAATTGTTCGCTTGAGCCGACCTCATGAGAAAAGTAATACTGTTATTTCCGAAACCTCTATCAGTGGACTGTTACCTTCAGGACGCTGGCATCATTTGGCTATTAATTTCAAAGATACTGTGCTGAATCGAAAATGCGCAGTGGTACAAGTGACGATTTGGGTAGACGGCTGGCGCGAAGCTAATGTTGAACTGCCGTTTGACGGTTTATTGGTACGAAAACCATCTACAACTACTTGCGTTATGCTTGGTCAATCTGCTGTTGTCAGCAGTGGTAATCAAACTACTGGTGGAGCTTGGTATTTAGGAAATCTCATGTTATTTAGGTAAAATTAAAATTATCTCTAATTAATTGATCATTCTGGTTTCGCCGCTTGAAAAAAAAAAAAAAAAAAAAAAATATTAACATCCACATAAATATCGTAAAATAATATAGGTGCAGTGGTTCGATCACTTAGAAATTATAACACAATACTTTCGAAAAATGTAAAGAAAAAAAAATTTCAAAAAAAAGTTACAAACCAGAACGACCCCTTAATTGATTTTAAATCATTGACTTATATATTGTTAATTTTTTTAATTACAGGTATCCAGTTTTTACTAAAGAACGAGCTTTATACTTAACAAGCCTTGGACCTAATTATACAAATATCGCAGATTGTATATTAAACTCCATAAAACCAGATTTCGCGTCACTAATTGCGTCTGGCTCGACAAATGGAGTACGTCAAGTGAAATTCAAGAGTGGAAAATTTGACGTCAATCGAAGAAAATCATACGGAGGAACTTATCTCCGACGTGTTGTTGAAACTAAAATAGTTTCTGTAGACTCCGAGATCGATTGGAATTCCGTGATGAATGATGATACAACTCACTCATCACAATTAAGTGAATTGCAGGACAATATATTATTATCCTACGAAGCAAAATGTCCGAATACTGTAAATTTATATCCACAAGCAATAACAAATCCAAGCGCTGTGGTGAGAAATCTTTTGCCAGGACAACCTCCACCTGGGTTTCGCGTGGTTTCTGCTCCTGAGCATAGAGTTTCGCAGCAACCGCCTCTATCAATTACTGTAATTACTCCAACTAATCAACTTGAGCGTCAGCAGTACCGTGGATTTATATCTTCAGCAAGTTTGGTTGGTGGAATACCGATATTTTTGTATTTATTTGGACGAATCGTCGAGCTCGAGTCTTCTGAAGAAGAGCAAGCACTTGCACTGTCAATAGTTATTAATTTAGCCCGAAGCGACTCTGAACTTCTTAGTCAGTATAATTCAGAGGGTGGTCAGTCGTTAATCATGCGTGTGCTAGAGTCACCAAGATGTAAAGCTGGAAAATATTTACTCAAAGCTATTTTAGATTCTGCCTGCAGTAGTCCGATAATTGTAAAAGACATTGCTAATGGAAACAATCTTACAATTCTGCAAAGCTCCGAGGCTGTTATTGTAGATCCGGAGTTGATAAAAGAGTCATTGAGTGTATGGAAGACCTGGGTCAAACACGACACCTTCAATATGTTTTTACACGCTCTGTTGGTGTTACTGAGAGACCAACATGGCCAAAGAGAATTCAATGCAACTCAATTAAATAGAGAAGCTATTGTCGAAACGATTTTATTCGTTTGCAAGCAGCATTTCATGTACGAAGATTTGAACACCCTCTGGGACACCATAACTGGTAATTCAATAGTGGAATTAATTAGAGCGCTGATGGGTGCTCCTCCGGAATTTTCTCACCTGGTTGCCATCATGGACTATCTCATACTAGTTCACCAGGCATCAGACACTTATGTCACACACTCACGGCACAATATGTACTTTTTATTGCCCCCGTTGGTGATAGAAGAACCCAATACTGTCAGCAAATTAAAGTCTGCTGTTCTGAACCATTTACCAACTACTGCGAATACAACGACTACAAGTTCTTCTGACGAATCTAATCATCCTCCGCTCGAAGTGATTAAATTGAATAAGGCGCTGATAAATGTCCAGCTTCAAAGAGACAGAGCCTTAAAACGTCGTGAAAAACGTAGCAACAATTCCCATAATAATAATAATAATAATAATAATAATAATAATAATAATAATAATAATAGTAATAATACCAGAGAAACGAGTGCTGGGGAAGATTCAGGTATAGCTGCAAGTGACGGTTCAAATAATCAGTTAGGAAATGACAATAGTCCGTTTGGAAAAACAGATGAAAAACGTGTTTGTCAGGGATTAGTCACCGAAGGACTTTTATTACTCCTAAGAGATGCTCTCCGCGTTCTACCCGATTGTCACATAGAATCTGTCGTAAAACACGTTATTCGAGCAGAATTGCTTTTAATTTTACTAAACAATCCAGATACCAGAGTTAGAACCGCAGTTGTTAAAGTGATTCAAATTTATCTTCAGCGAGCAGACGATGAAGAAATAAATAAATTTATAAAGCAAAAATATTTCTTCCACTTGGCTAATCAAATTACACTTTACCCCAGCAATAACAATGAGTCTTTATCATCCTCGTTGGAATGTCTGGCGCTAAGAGGTCCTACAACATTAGCAGCCATCCCACCTTTACTAGCGATGCTTACCAGGATACCGATCACCGGATCAAATATTACAAGACCAATAATAAATTTAATTGTTGATATGATCAACAAAAATCCCTCCGCTTTGCGTACACTTTTATCCGACCAGGGCTTGGCAGAATCATTGGCTCAGTCGCTCGTCGGAGGAGCGCATAACTCGTCAATTGGAGCATCGCCACCATTGATTATCAATGACATCCACATTCTCTTGGTCAGTATCGCCACAAAACTACTAGACCAGCCGGGTAGTCATCACATGCCAGCAATATCAGACTTGCATTTAATATTAAACTATGTAGAGTTAAATGAAAGAGCTCAGTGTGGTGCAGATGCTCCTTGTGTGTCTGTAATTCGCAACGCTCAGGTAGTTTTGTTTGACGGTGAGCTGGATGTACTGATGCCTAAAGTCTCGTCTCTGCAATCGGGATTCAAGTTGCGCAGCGCGACTTCTTATTTAGCTTCTTCATCGTATTTGACACACCACAGTGCTCTTACAACTTCCAGCGAGCAGAGTGATCACGAGTCGCGTTCATCTAGTTACGGAAATGGAAGCGCTAGTGGTATCAATTTTTATGGCTCACCAAACCGTGAGCCACGTAGAGGAGAAGTTAATGAACGTTTTCGAAGCATTCTTTTTAAAGCTATAGATTTTTTAACTTCTTCAGATTGCGCGCCATCTACCAACGAGCTTGAATTGACCAAAAGGATTTACATTATACTTTTGTATGGATTGTCAAGCAGTTCTTTTGATAGGAAAAATAATTGGAGCGGTTCATGGTCAATGCGGTCAATTTTACGAAAGAATGCTGCCAAAATGTTGATGTGGTTGTTGAGTCCGCATCAAAGTAACAACACTCGTGTTTTTACTATCCGATCGCTGATGGAAGAGTCCAGAGGTCGGGAAATATTGTCCTCTATTATTGACATTCACAGCAATGTTGAAAAAAAATTGTCTGTATTTTTGTGGGATTTATTTGAAAGACGAACTGATATGCCGAGTTCGGATGCAAGAGTATGCACAGAATTCAAAGAAACTTTGGCTGTTTGGCATCCTGGATTATTAAATCCTGAAGGTACATCGACATCCCAAGAGAGGTTGAACAATGAAGAACAAATAACTGCGATGCATCTCGAATTTTCAAAAGATCGTGAAATTTGGTTGGAGAACAATCTGCTGGCATTGCACCGAATAGGAAATAAATTTGATGCGCTGGCCAAACAATTGACTGAGAGCGCAATGGTAATCACCCGATCGGTGATAGAAGAGCAGAATCACGAGCGCAAGGCTCTGATGGAGAAGTTTAAGCACAGCCGGGGACTAGAAGCTCAGTCGATGGCTCGCTGGAGAGATTTAACTAAGCGGTTGACTCACGAACGCGCACCTTGGTACTTTTCTGAGTCATATCCAATTAATTGGGAGCTTGACCCTACGGAAGGACCCGCGCGAGTACGAATTCGAATGCAGAGATGTCATTTGAAAATAAAAAAAAAATTCTTTTTAAATGACCAGCAAACAGATCCTAGAAAAACTCCCAATGATGACCAAGCTCCTGAAGAAATAGGAATAGACCAACCACTGTCGTATCTTTTTACAAACATGAGACGGCAGGATTTAAATGCCACGGCTCTTGTTGAGCGACTGCACACCAGCGAGCGGATTGGAAAAATGTGTCAAGTTCAAGTTGTAACTCCGCAAACAGAAATACCTGGCGAGGCTCTAATTGGTGAAACTTGCTTGTACTTTGTTCCAGATGATCCAAAAAAATCAGTTTATTCTCAAGATACAGCTCTGCTGGGAGCTGGCTGCAGTGGTCTCGATCTCGCAATGGCTGGAGGCACAGCCTGGAAATTAAGAGACATCAAAGAGTTGCATAGAAGACGCTACCAGCTTCAGGAACGAGCGATTGAATTTTTTTTGACCACCGGAAGAACCTTGCTGCTAGCTTTTAACTCTTCTAAGGAACGAGATGAGTTTGTCAGTCAATTATTAAACTGCAATCTACCGCAACGAGTTCCTGGTGATGATTTGAACGAAGCTCTAGCTGCTTGGCGCAACGGCTACCTCACAAATTGGGAGTACATAACGTGCTTGAACAAACTCGCTGGAAGATCTTACAATGATTTGATGCAATACCCGGTGTTTCCTTTCATATTGGCTGATTACACCAGCAGCAAAATAGATCTTACTAATCCAAATATCTACAGAAACTTGAAGCGTCCAATGGCTGTCCAGGACAAGAAGAACGAGCAACACTATATTAACAATTACAACTACTTGAAGCAAGCTCTTGCAGAAGATCAAAATTTGATCGCGTTGAACCAACAGCCTTATCATTATGGCTCTCATTACAGCAACTCGGGTACTGTTCTTCATTTTTTGGTTCGGCTTCCGCCGTTTACAAGCATGTTTTTAAATTACCAGGACAACAACTTTGACATACCTGACCGAACATTCCACGCACTGGCAACTACATGGAGATTAACCAGTTGCGATTCGACTACTGACGTCAAAGAATTAATTCCAGAGTTTTTTTATCTGCCAGAATTTTTTTTAAATTCAGAAAACTTTAATTTTGGAGTCCGACAAAACGGATGCAGAGTTGGAGACGTAGAACTGCCGAGCTGGTGCAACAACGACGCTAGATTATTTATACTAGTGCATCGAGCTGCGCTAGAATCTGACATAGTTCGTGAGAATGTGTGTTATTGGATCGATCTGGTGTTTGGTTTCCGGCAAACTGGAAGGCCCGCTGTAGAAGCAATTAATGTCTTTCACCCGGCAACCTACTACGGATTCAACGTCGACACAATATCTGATCCAGACGAGAGAACCGCTTGGGAAACTATGGTCAGAACTTACGGACAAACTCCAGCTCAACTTTTTACAGCCGCTCATCCACTGCCTTGCAATGTTATGCTTAACTCATCAAATTCTTTGGCTTACAATACAATTCCGCCGGTTATTGAAGGAGTCGCGGGCATTAAATGGGGCAATTATGTCGGAGCGCCGGGAAACGAACCTGTTTTATGCTGGAAGCACAAACATCGTGTACCAATAGTGTCACTTATTCCTCTAACTACGGGAGAAGTTTTTGGGTTGCCGGTATGTACTTGTTTGCTCATTGGATATAACAACGAGAAAGGAGGTAACATGGTGAACAGCACGACAGTATCAGGAGCAGCTCTCGCTTCTTGGGATAACAATGATGGTATCATTAGACTTAAGTCAAAAAAAGAACAGCCTCCTAAGCCGCTGATGAAATCTTCTGGCTTTGATCCGATAACTGTGTTAGGCTCTGCTGCTGATTGCGGACAACTTTGGATCGGTTACATGTCAGGAAAAATTATGGTCTACTCGTACAGCATCGAAGCTAGTGGAAAAATAAAATTCGAGTCGCCAACAGCTCCAGCTTCTGTTCTCTTGGCTCACAGATGTGCAATAACTGTAATTGTTTTGTCTGGAGCTTTTAGTATTGCTGTCTCCGGTGACGTCAAAGGTGTTATTGTTATTTGGGATCTAAATAGGTGCGTAAATATAATTTATAATTATTTTAATAATTGAGTAAAAAATAATTGGAATTAACTTACAGTTTGTCATACGTGAGATCTATAGTATGCCATGACATTTATACGGTTAATAATATATCTATAAGCGATACTCTTGGAGACATTGCAGTTGTCTGTCAATTAACAGCGCCAAAACGACAATTAACATTGCCGATATCTTCAACGGATCAGAATAATTTTGAACACCAGTCTCAGTTGAAAGTATTTACGATAAATGCTAAATCTGTTGGCACGGTTTTATCCAGAAAAAGGATTACTGCGTTATGTTACAGCAACGCTCCAGAAGGAGTTTCTGTGAATGTAATAGCCACTGGGCTTGATAATGGAGTAATAAGGTAGTTATTATCTATATAATTAAGGAATAATCCTGTATCTCGTGAGCTATTGACATTTTTAAAGATATAAGCTCATTCCGATGTCACACTCATCAAGAGCTTTCATTTGAGTACCCACATGCATTTTTATCTATTTTATATATATTATATATATGTATATATGAAAAATATATCAAAAATTCATGTGGGTACTCAAATGAAAGCTCTCGATGAGTGTAACATCGTAATGAGCTTATATCTTTGAAAACGTAAATAGTTAAGAAAGTACAGTGTAATTTAACATAATTAAGAAACGGCTTTGTATCTTGTGAACTATTGACATTTTCAAAGATATAAGCTCATCCCGATGTTACACTCATCAAGACCTTTTGTTTGAGTACCCACATCAATTTTTCATATATTTATAAATATTATATATATATGTATATATGAAAAATATATCAAAAATGCATGTGGATACTCAAATGAAAGCTCTTGATGAGTATAACATCGGAATGAGCTTATATCTTTAAAAAGGTCAATAATTAAAAAAGTACAGTGCAATTTAACAAAAGTCATTATTTAATAAAACAAAATTTTATCTATTTATAGTTCACAAGTCACGGCAGTCACATAGTGACTGCAAGATTGCTAGTTTAGTATTATTATTATTATTATTATGTATAAGAATGTTGAATATAATTGAATAAAATGATTTACGTGTTTTAGATTATGGAGTAGCTGGGATTTGAGACTAATCCGTGAAATAGTAAACGGCGGAACAGACTGTGGGGCTATAATAGCAATAGCATGGGCATACGATCAACATCATCTTTATGCAGCGACTGAAAATTCAACAGTTTTAATTTGGGAAGGCTTACGAAGACTTAACAGTGGCACACCCAAATTCGTAAATTTAACTTCGCTTTGATTTGATAAAGCAGGCATAATAATAAACGGCTCTAATTAAATATTTAGATACTCAATAGTGTATTTTGAGTAATCAAATATTAGGATTTTATAAATTTCTCAAATATGTGATATACTGAAAGTTATTATCATTTACTCCAAATTGCCATAATATTACTTAATAATAATAATAATAATATTATTATATATCTACGTAATTATGTTTTTATGATATTATTGAAACATTTATATTATATACCGTAGTATTATTTGATATTTATATAAATATATATTTGAATTATGTATGTATTTTTATACTCTATTGTCATAAAATTGATGATTCATAATATTTTCACAGTGCATTATCAGAAAAATACCGTAAACCAAAGTACCGACGAACAATTAAATTGCATAATAATTGTATTTTTATGTATTCTCTATGAAAAATTCCTTATTGATTATGTATAAAATAAAATACAATAAAATTTATATTAAATTTTACGTAAACACGGTTCTATTATTTCAAACATTGGATAGTACTTTCCAGTTCTAGTAGCTACCATCTGAGCAGTATCACCACTGGAATTAACTAGCTCAGGATTTGTGTCCGGATGGAGAAGCAGTAGTTGAAGAGCTGGAGAATTGTGTGAACTAGCACATACCAAGTGTAAAGGAGTCTGATTACCGTTGCTCAGAGCATTGACATTAGCTCCGTTTGCAACTAAAAGTGTAATACTTTCAACATTATTCCAATGACAAGCTGAATGTAAGGGTTCCCATCCGTCAATAGTTTTTGCATCAATCTTAGCTCCTCTCTTCAACAAAACCTATTTTTAAAAATCTATCCATTAGAATTGATTACATGGATTTATTTTTTAATTTAAAACAACTTTTACAAGACACGGAAGTTAATTAATTGAAATAAGAAATTTTTTTAGTAATGAAATTATTAAAAAAAAAATTTCACATGTGAAAATTAAAAAAAAATTTTTACCTCAATTATTTTTGTTTGATTGGCATAACAAGCTCTATGAAGTGGAGTATAACCATCTTTATCAGTAGCATAAACCAATTCTGGATTTTTATCTAAAAGAATCGTAACTCGTTCAATGTTGCCATTTTCTGCAGCTTTCAAAATAGCTCTGGCTTCGGGATCTGTTTAATAATAATAAAAAAAAAAACTATTATTAAATATTTTTATTTTATTAATATTTATCAAACCTGGTAAATCTTTCTGACCTTCAGGGTTTCGTTGGGTTTCAACTCCGGTGTTGTCATCATCCCAAGCGCTTACTTGCATCCGCTCACCTTGAGATGAGCTTAAAATTTTATCTCGAATCGCCTCGAGATCTTGAATCTGATCGTTCTCTTCATCAGAAGACATTTTATTTGAAAATATTAAAAATACCACTGACAGTAATGCTCACATGTAAGTATCACAACAGCCCAATAATAAAGCATGTAAAATGTAATAAATATTTTTATTGACAACTAGCCAATAGTTTTATAACCTAGCCGCTAGATGACAGCTCCTGCATGGCTTAGTCCCGACTGTTCTGAATATATGAGAGTAATAACTGAAAAATTTATAAACAAAAATGATCACAAAAACTTTCTATGAAAATTAAGTTAGCCACTTAAAAATTTTTAGAATTTTTTTTTTGTTAAAAAAATTATTGTAAAATTAAAAAACAGTTTTCATTTATAAAAAACTTGAAAAACTCTAAGTGCAATTTTTAAAAAATACTTTTTAGCTCTAATTTAATTATTATTAAAAAAAAAATCAAAAAATTAAAAACGTCGGCTAACTTTAGTGTTACAAACTTTCTCTGTTGAAGTACACTTTCAATCAAAACTATTATATAATTATTGACTTTTAATAGTATCAAGGTCAAATCCATGAGAATAAATTTTCATTGGACTCGTAAATTTTAATTTCCAGAATTTTTGGCACAATACCAAAGTTACATTATTTAAATATTATCTTCCAGCTTAATTTTCAACTATAACAAATTTTATGTTAAGTATTTTTGAAAATTAAGTGAGCTGACTTCTAAGAATTTTTAGAATTTTTTTTTATTGAAAAAATTGTTACAAAAAAAATAAAAAAAAAATTTCATTTGTAAAAAACTTTAAAAACTATAAGTGCAATTTTAAAGAAATATTTTTTAGTTCTGATTTAATAAATGAAAAAAAATCAAAATATAAAAATTGTCGGCTAACTTTTTAGTATTATAAAAAATTGTTGAACGTCGGCTAATTTTACTATCATTATAAGTATTTAGTTGTTTTTTTGTTTTTCTAATGACATTTTTCTCTCACTATAATGTATAAGTTATAATTAATTATGATATACTTAATTTAAGAGATAAATGTCAATTTTTCCGATTTCTATAACATTTAAATAATTATTACATGACTAGGAAATAAAAAAAAATTTCAAGTGCAAATTTTTTAAAGTATTTTTATTACTATAATTAATTTGTTATAAAAATTCAAAAAAATTGACAGATATCTGCTAATTTCAATATCATAATTAATTAGTAATTAATTCTCCGCAGTTTTTAAAATTAAATTTATGTTAATAACAATTGTAATAAATGGAATATAACAAGCTATCGGAAAGTATCGACACTGTTGGATATTCTGGAGTATGTATTGGAACTGAAAGATCCCAGCTTCTGAAGAACTCGCTTCTAGTTCTTGGAAAAGAAAATAATTTCGATAAAATTTATTACTGGGGAAGAATAAACGGCATAGAGCGTGACTATTATATCGCATATGGCCACGGTAAAGATTATTTAAGAAACCAAACATATTATTACAGGTAAAATTTAACAGTCATCCTCTTAAAATAAAAAATTTAGAAATGATTCACTACCTATGACTCAATCTTTTGTTTAGTTTTAATTGTTTGGACTGGTTACTGCTTCCGAAAGCGACAAAAACTGACAAAGTTATATCAAGCTTTCTGATGAATTATTTCCAAGGTGATCCATCCGTAAAGACGTCCGCTCAGGTTCCGGATTTTTTTCTGTCCGATGGAGAAACGTCGAAGAAATCGATTGAAAACGGTGTAACCTCGTGCGAAATCAAAGAAGAGGACCGACTGAGCGCTACAGTGGATTTAATAAACAATGACTCAATTATTATTCCACGCGGTAGCTGGATAAAGCATCCAAGCGGTGATGTGGGAAAAAATCCGGCCTTCACTGGTCTAAATTTGAACGAATGTCTCGAACTTAAATCATATCTACATGCGAGATTGCCTCTGAGAAAATCGGATATGAATTTAATCAAGAAACAAGACTACAATAACTGTGCTCTAGATTTTCTTGATTCAATTGACATGGATTTGTCAAAAGGTAAATGCATTTAGGGGCATTCCAGAGTGACTGGTGGGACATCGAAAAATCCTTCTCTCTTACCAATTGGTAATTTTAAAGGTATACTTAAAGTCCAATTTCAGTTCGACCACTAAACTTTTAAAAAATACTTTCCTCTCAATACAAAATTTATCCTACAAATATTCAATATTGTGAAGAATTAGACTGATTACTTCGGTAGAAACAATTGAAACAATTTTTTTTATTGTGACAGGTGGTGGGACAGGTGCAAAATGTCTACATCAAGTTGTTTATTAAAAAACCCTTTTATATTATTTCAACCTTAGAAACATTATTGTTTATATATTTAGCTATAAATTATTTAGAATAATTAAAAAAAACTAATTAAAAAACACAAATAAAGGATTTAGCATGCTGACAATACGATCTTGATAAACTTGGGTGTTAATAACGAACATAAAATGAATTTGTTTTTAAAATTATTAAAACAAAATTTAACCCGAATACAAGTTAGTACGGCTGAAAAGTTACTAGGAGAGAAAAATCGATTTTCTTATTGATTAAAAAAAATTTTCTTTACAAATTAGTTAAATTTTAATAATAAATTTGGACTAAATTAAAATGAATTAGAGAAATTTTTTAATTTGCTTCATTTTCCCATTTCGCATGGAATGCCCCGTTATTAATAAATCAATATAAATAGACTATTAATGTTTGCTTGTTTATTTATTTAGAGTGTTGGAGCTTACAGCTGCATTTGAAAGACAATTTAATAATAATAAGAAATTTATTCTGGACTGGAATGACATTTTATCATAGAATAAATTCATCAGAGTACGGATCAATTTATGTCGGCGATGGAATAAAAAATAAGTGCCTTTTGGATTAATGTTCTAGCACAAAGAATAAATTGATTGTTGTAAAAATAAATACAATAGAATTATGACATGATTGGAAAGCTCCAGATCTTATATTCGAAGCAGCTGTTGATATACTTTGGTGTTGGAACAGTCACATGATGTTAAATAACGAGATCGAGGCATGATCAAAATAGAATCGATCAGTAAATAGATCAAGCCAAGCGGAAAAAAGGCGGAGCATCGTCTCAATAGTTTTTCCTCTTGTTGGTTTCTTCTTTCTCCTCTCGATCCCCAGCAGCCCCAGAGACAGTGAAAGCTGCAAGGGTTTATTGTCTTTGGCATCAGAGCTGGCTTATCGTGTGACACCGTTTTTTCATAGTACAGAACGACCAGTGTGAAGCGCCACTAAAGTTAAACCCCCGTTGTAATTCATCAGTTTAATATCCTGTTTCGTTTAGTGCTTAACTCTCATCAAAAGATCCTACGACACGTCAATGATCAATTTCAATTATTTTATAATCTCTTGTACTTTCGATGTCGATTGTCAAAATTAAATTGGCAAGTATACTTACATGTATATACTTACATATATACATATATATATATATATACATATGTATATCTATACATTTTTTTAATTAGATTCTCCCAGCATCTCGGCTATCCAAAACTAACTAGCTGTTATTTATTTAAAAGTACCAACGCGACGATTTACAATAAAAAGACCAATATTTTTTTTTTACGTTACCAAAATAGTGCTTTGAGATTTAGGACGCGCGCATAGTCCACGTGTTATTATTATTATTATTATTATTATTATTAATTCATTTTTACGTCCAATTATTGGTAATGCTCAAAAAATGTCACTTACTTAGAGTAATTAATTTAATCTAAGGTCGATGATCTTATTATATAATCTAATTTAAGAAAATGGCTGCAGGTGTCCGCGTATACATTATTTAATTAATTATAAATACTTATTGTCTCTAAATTACTTAATTATTTTTTCAATAATTTACGTGACGCAACACTGACTGAGTGTTGGATTTAATTGAGCTATTTTAATTGACAGTTTCGAGGTAATCAAAGAATAGAACTAGAAAAAATACCTTACGTAATTATTTTAATTAAATTTTTTTAATACACAGAAAAAAATAATTATTTGTCTCAAATAAATCAATTTATTTGAGTCGTTTTTTTTTTTTAAATATTTCTTTATGACAACTATAACAGTTGACTTGAATTATATTATTATTCGTCAGAAATATATCATTTATTTGTGGTAAAGATGCTAAGTTTGTCGAAAACAACTACATCTTTGGTATTAAAACTCTCAACTACTGCTCTCATGACGTGTCACTTGAAAGTTGAAAACAAAACTTGAAAGTTTTGATTACAACTTAAGCTACAGCGACGTTTCAAAAAATATTTCATTATTCAATAGAATTAATTTATTTGTTAAATAAAATTAAAAATTGGTCAAGTGATAGCTAACTTTAATGTTATAATAAATTTTAAAGGTTCATTATTGTCGTCTATGATTTATTTACCACAAATAAACCATATCTTTACCATGAATATTATATATATTTACCAAAAATAAATATTTATTTGGCCATATCCAAAACACAGTAACTAACATTTAAAAATTTTTAAAAATTTTTCTTATTAAAAAAAAATTTGCCCGCCAAATTAATGACAAATTTGATTTATGAATAGAAAATACTCAAATATAAATATTTTTAAGAAAAAATACTTGAAATTAAGGTTTAAAAGTTATAAAAAATGCAGCAATACTAAAAAAAAATTAGGTATAAAAATTTTTCAGTTACTGTGTTTTAAAATTGGGCAGCCGACAATATCTTATATATCTTTGGCACAAATAAATCTTATTTCGATCAAATATTTCTTTTTTTTCTGAGCAAGTAGTTGATTTAATAATAATTATATTTTTAGAAAGCGTGAAAATGTCGATCATCGACATCAAATTTTCGAAATTTGATAATACTCCTTGGGGTTTCCGGCTGGCCGGTGGAAGTGACTTTCCTCAGCCATTGACAGTCATCAGAGTGAGTCACAACAGTAATTAAATATTTTCTTCTATATGGTTTAATAATTAATATTTTTTTTTAGGTCGTCGAAGGAAGTTTAGCAGAATGTATGGGTCTTAAGCTTGGCGATGTAGTCGTAAGACTAAATGATCGTCCGGTTGCGAGTTTAACCCACGGTCAGGCTCATGAGGCACTTATGCTTGCTGGTAATAATTTTACATTGGGTGTCAGCAGGTAAATTTAGTAATTATTGTTGCTATTATTACTGTACCGTTAGATAGCTCAATAATATCCTCTAACTATAATTAATTAATCAATAAGATGATTGTATATAACCGAGGGAGTCCTTATTGTATTTATTGCTTGTTGGCATTTGCGTACCTTGAATTGTTGCGTGACCTCGACCGTATATCTCGCATCGTGAGCCAATAAAACATGTGCCAATAATTAGTTTTTATAAAGGGCTCGTAGACGAGTAATCTCGAGCATTTTGCTTGGATCATTGTCAGTGAATGAATGATTACAGCTATTTATTTGTTTACTTTTATTTTAAATTGTTACATGCGACAGAAAACACGAAGCTACTGAAGTTGTTGAGAATCTTCAGTCAGATACCGTACCCTATCGAATACCTGTGAGTTTTTTTTTTTTTTTTTAATGTAAAATATAATTAACTAATTTATCTGATTGATTGATTAATATTTTTTTTATACCAAGCTTGAAGATCTGAAACCCTTAGAAGTTATTCCGCTAGAAGATCCGTGGGAGCTAGTGAGTAAAAAATTAAACCAAGAAGAAAAAGAAGAACAGGGCGATAAGGTGACCGATGAGGAGGAGGCTAGCAAAGAATTAGAAGAATTGGAACAATCGGTAGCTGAAAAACCCGTTGACGCCAACAGCGAAGTGGTACCAAATAAAAATTTAACTGACGAGGAAATTGCTGAGTTGATTGTCGAGGAAGAAGAGTTATTGGACGTGGGTGATCAAGGAGTGCTTGGGTAAGTTTTAGTTTAAATTTAAAAATGTTTTTTATTATTAAATAATGTGGATATAATACATACATAAAAGTAATTAGTGTTGGATATATATGATGTACCTCTGATATTTATCAGAGTTAATTTCAAGAAATTACGTCCTCGTGCGCCCCTGCTAAAAGAATCTAAAGTTCTCGAAGAACTCCAGACGATTGCACTTGAAGAGCCACCACGTGTAAAAGAGCTGAAGCACAAGTCGACTTTTTTGCAAAAACCAGAGCGGCCTATACCGACTAAAAAAAGTCTAATTGAAGAGGTGGTGGTCGATCAAAGTGAATGCTACAGAGTTGTTATTAAAAAACAGCCTAAAAAGAGCGTCACTGAGCGACTGTTGGAGAAAGGTCTGCTGGATAAGGCGTCAGCGGAAGCTCTTAGGTCGGCGCCGTCTAAATCTCCGACGCTAGATCAATCATCACAACAAAAAACAACTTCTTCGGAGGAAGAGAAAACTCACCATGTCGAGTCGAGCGAGAATGAAACCCGGAGGGAGGAGTATCAATTGTCTGAGTCCCGTGAAAATCTCTATGAAGAAGAGTCTTGCGCAGAAATTTGTAACGAGAAAGCTGAATCCGTTGACAATATTGAAGATCACACTGAAAGATTGTCCACAAACCGGTGTGAAACGCCGGATATTAAAGTGCAAACACCTGAACCGATTGTCGAGCCTATCGTTTTTGATCGTGAAAAAGTTAAAGAACTGGTCTCTACAGAAATCAGCCTCGAGAAACAACTTGAGAATGTTCAGAATCAACTTCTGGCGTTGAAACAATTACCCGCTGAAATAGAAAACCATCTTAAAGTTGTGTCTGAGCAATTATACAAAATAATGGAACTCAGTGGCGTTAAAAACGGCAGTCAGACGGGTTCACGGCGTAGCTCGTCAGGTAGATGATGATAGTGGTGATTGTGTGATCCGTATGTGTGGGTTATTTGTGCACAGAATAAAAAGGTTCACTTGAGCCAAGAAAATATTTTTCTTCCTAATTATTTTCTTGAGCGAAGAAAAAATTTTTTTTTGACACAAGAAATTTCACTTATTCCAACAAAATTAATTCTCTTGCTTTAAAAAATACGTATCTTGATCCAAGAGAATTTATTTAAGTCAAAAAAATCTTGTTGTTTTGAGAAAATTCAGCCTCTGGCTCCAAAAAATTTTGTTCTTGATAAAAGTAAATTTTCTTGTCTTGAGAAAATTTCTCTCTTGCTCCAAAAAATTAAATATAAAAATAGAAGTAAATTTTTATTGATTAACATGTCAAACAGGAAGATCAAATATTATTGAATCATTTTTTTTTTTCATTCAATATGTATAATTGCACGCTCAAATTATATATAATGGGTATCAAATATTCAAGAGAAAATTTTCTTGAGCCAAGAATTTTGTTCTTCAGTCAAGAAATTTTTCTTTCTGTGTGTGGAAGTTTATTATTATTTTTGCATTCATTATTTTTCATTCCCGCACGGATTTTATCCCGATATTTTTATTTTAGTAATTTTTTTTTATTTATGATATATAATAATTAATTAAATATTACGTAGATCAGGAGTGCAAAGCGGAACCTGAGAAGCGTGAAGAGGAGAGAGCTGAAACTCCAGAGAGCTGTCACGAGGAAGAAGAAACTCATTCAGAGGCTGATAAAAACGACACTTCTATCGCCGAAACAATGTCAACAATGAGCAACAAAGCGCCTTCTATTAGTATCGAGGAGGAAATCGAGCCACCAGAAACTAAAGAATTGGAGGTTACCATAAAGAGCGAAGACAGAAGAGTCAAAAAATGCATCGCTTCATATGAGACTCGGGTGTTTCGATCCACGCCAAGCCCAGCACCTTCCTATGGTAGGTACAATTTTATAAATAATTTCTTTTAATTTATAAAAGATAAATTAATAAATATTTTCTTTTAATAAAAAACAAAAATTGTAAAATAAATTTTAGGGAGTTATGAAGCCGACTCAAATTTATCGCCTAGGGATCAAGTAATACAAGAACTAAAGGTATTGGGAACGAGATTGCGTATTGTCTTCTTTGTAATACTCGTGATCCCTCTTACAAAATGAAATTCTTTCTGTACTTTACAGCATGAATAATCTCCACGGAAAGATAATAGATAATTTATTGAATGCAAATGCTATTTTTCGTCTCCTTAAAGACAGTACATGTTTCGAATAATGTAATTGAATTATTGGCTAATAAAAATTTCCATTTTCCCACAGCAACGAGGCGGAAGAAAACGTTCAAAGGATCTCTGGCCCCAGGCTAAGCAATTAGAGCTCACTTACGGACGACGATGGAGATGTCCAAATGATTTCTTTAATGATGAAATGATCGCTGAAGTTTTATCGGGACAAGCTGAAGTCATTCGTGGTCGTGCTATGGGGTAAGATTATATTTTTAAATAAAATTTTTTATTTATTTATTTATTTTTAAACTAAATTTTTCGATTATTTAAACAGAGTTAATTTTAAAAAATACGAGAAATCATGGCTGCCAAACTATGACCACTTGATGAATTCAAGCGTTTATAAAATGCTGCACAAGATGGAACGAGAACCCAGAACAGGAATTCCAGCCCGGCCACCAAAAGTTGTCGCAGCTGAAGATATCATTGAAAGAGTGGTACGCTATACTTATATTTATATTTTATGTTGTTTTTTTTTTTTTTTCTTTAATGACTTGATTTTATTTTTTTATTAGAATACACCGGCTTAATCATCTCTGCCAACGGGAATATCCAGCCATTGATTCATATTAAAATAATAAATCATTTTCAAATTGTGCATTATATTATTTAAAAAAGTTATTAATATAAAAATAATTATAATACTATTATTAATACGTGAAGTGAGTGAGTAAAGAGTTAATTTATTCTATTACTAGAATATGTCAAGTTTTGTTCTTAAAGCTACTATTCTGTCAATAAAATTACAAAACACTTGTATTTATACCTATTTAATAATTTACTCATCCTCATAGAAAAACCCGTAACCGTATGAGTCAATCTTAATCAAACATACAATTGTGAAAGTTAATTTTAATATACCTAACTGTGGACATGTCTTGAAGGAATACGTGAGGATGTTAATAAACAAATGTACTTAGATAAAATACTGAGCAAGTATTTGATTTTTTTTTTTTTTAATAATTTAATCAAAACAAAAAAATATTTTTTAAAAATTTCACTTACAGTTTTTGAAGTTTTTTACAAGTGGGATTTTTTTAAAAATTTTTTTGTAATAAATTTTTCAATAAAAAAAAAATTCTAAAAATTTTCAAATGTCGGCTAACTTAAATTTCATAATTTTTTAAGTTTCTGCAGTAAGAATTGGCTAAATCAACGTAGCCACAGATTTTTTTCGCTATTTTATAAATGACTGAATTTATATTTAGTGAAATTTCCATTTGGGTAATTTCATTTTTTATTTGCGACTAATTTTACAAATGACATTATCAATGATACTAAAGTTAGCGGACGTTTTTAATTATTTTATTTTTTTATTAATAATTAAATTAAAACAAAAAAATATTTTTAAAAAATTTCACTTACAGTTTTTCAAGTTTTTTACAAGTGAGATTTTTTAAAAATTTTTTTGTAATAATTTTTACAATAAAAAAAAAATTCTAAAAATTTTTAAATGTCGGCTAACTTAATTTTCATCATTATCAACTAATTTAAAAATTTCGAGTTAATAAACGTTTTTTTTAGTTTACAAACTGCTATTTTTCAGAAATAATAAAAACACTTAAATTAATGACCACAATTGTAAATATGGATATTATCAGTGAAAACATTATACCCGTAAGTTCGTTGAGTCACACGTTAGTGCTGCGAATGATATTGTCTGGAACCGCAGCGGGACAGCGAGCGGGTAAGTGTGTGACGTCGATCCTGAACAATTTACTCCAAGAATTCGCTTGGCATGATTCACAAACTAGTTTGTTATTCACATTGGAGATCGTTATTGCAGGTATACACACTATTTTGATAGACATAAGGGATAGGTTGGGCATGTTCCATCCTCCCATTATATTTAGTACCAATAAACCGCGCGCATCCTTGAAAGTAATTTATTATTTTTTTTCTTCTTTTATTTTAACAACAAAGAATTTTGCAGTACAGCGATGGACAAATGTATTTATAATTCTAGCTTTAAATTATTTATGATTCATAAACAAGTGATAAGAGAACAGGAAACGTGTATATGGGAGATAAATAAAAGAAGCAAAGAAAGAAATCAGAGTGTAGAAAAAAAATAAGACGATGAAGAAGAAAAAAAAGAGCTCCGGGAGGGAAAAGAGAAGAGAGAAAGTAAAAACCAAAAAAGTATCCGCTGAGGGATGGAGTGAAATGTCTGCCGGTCTGTTATGTGTGGTGTGGGGAGTGTGGATACTCTTTAGTGGGTAAAATACAGTAGTACTTAGTATAGAACAAACCATTGAAGCGGCTGTGGCGGATCGTCAATCGTCCTGACGTTCCCCTTCATATCATATCAGACCTAATCTTGGGATCTCCTTCGCGAAAAAAAACGTCCTAACAGCATCCTAGTGTCGTGGACCGTGGTGCTGTGTGTGCTGTGGCCAGCCAACCACCTCCTAACAGTACCAACCGCGGTTGAAAGAGACGCACGCGCTTTTCTCTTCCAATCGTCACGTCTCAAATTGCGCGCTTCAGCCTTTAGCTTAACTTAACTCACCGGGCAGTTAAACTTTACTTTGGTTTTTGCGTTTATTCCGGGAGGTTCGTGCATCAAATTACAAAATCATAAAATTTATATTGAACACATTTGTATACCTGTACATATCAAAGTAATTATAGATTTTCGTTAAATATTTTTAGATAAATAAAACAAAACTCAGCTTATTACGTGAGAAAGATTCCAAGTGCTCAAGACAGAACTTAACAAGTGAATTAGTTTTTTTTTTTTTTTTTTTTAACAATCGTGAAAATTTTTTTTTTCCTATTTTTTATTACTCCAAAGTAATTTTGCTAGTCTTTATTTTTTTTTAATGAAAAATTATTTGGAATTAAAATTTTAGTGTTTTAATATAAATTGTTTAGATAAATTTTTATACTTTTTGTTGTTTTGTTATCTTGATTATTTGGTGAGTGATGGCGCAACTGATAAGCGTCAAACTGTCGAGATTTGACGGATCTCCATGGGGATTCCGACTTCAAGGAGGAAAAGATTTTGGTACACCTTTAATTGTGCAAAAGGTTTGTTTTCCTTTATCTTCTTAATTTTATTTTAATATCAATAAACAAATTAATTAATTTATTTATTTATTGAAAACTAATTATACCTGGAAGTGATAATAATTAATTAAAATAATAAAAATAAAAAATAAGTTACTATAAGGCTCACAAAAGAGTAATAAATTAGTAATAAATATTTTTGTATATTACTAGGCCTATCTCTTTTTCCCTACCCTATGTACAGACAATTTTTTTTGTCTCTATGGGGATTATGTGTAGTTATTTTTGTACGACTATGTATGTAATTTTGGGAAGTAAATAAAATTATTATTATTAATTACAGGGAAGAATAAAATAAGATAAAATGTTACATAAAATGTTGAATAAATGTTTAGTTAAATTTTATACGATTAGGTCAGAAAGCATTGCCAATTATACGTGTTTAAATGCTTCTCAAATTGAAATTTGGCATCTACTCTGTACACTAAAATCATCTCCGTGGATTCTCCTGGGTAATTCGAGCTGCCAATATACAATTCGAGTATAAACATCGCATTGTAATCGTCTAAATAACTTGAGATTTTAAATTATCTAATGTTACTTATACTTTTATAATTGTACATCACTCGAGCGTCTAAAAGTGTTCACCAGAAACAAATAAAATAAAATAGAAGATAAAATTTGACAGACTGAGCGAATTAAAATGTCTTGAAGCAGACGGCGAAGCATTTAACCATTTAAAAAGTTACGTCTTTTCCTAAATAAAAAAAGCGTCTTGAGTTTAAAAGTTACACAGACGTTGTTGTTGCGGTAATCCGATGCAAATTATTTGGATGTTCTATTTTGAGAAGGTGCCTTTGCGAAACTCACACGATCATACATTCAGCTTAACCAGCTCTAATGTAGACTCGGTAACGCAATAGCTGACTAAACTACAGCAATTACGGAAAAATTATTTTTTTTTTTTTTTACGTCGAAATTTTTAAAGATCTAAATTTAAAAATGTTGACTAAAATACTAAGAATTTTCACGTACGTATACATCGTCAAGTAATGAGTGTGTTTATCACAAGATATGAGCGCCAATTATTCATAGCAAGGTCTTTCATGCTCTTATCTTCATTCTTCAACACTTTATTATTATATGTATTACATATATATCTATAACTTTATTGGCTATACAACAGTAAAGATAAAAAAAAAATAGCTGAAAAAATTAAACTACTGCTTTACGCTCAGTTATAAATAATTTCACACGGTAATTTTTTAAATGAAAGCTCTTGAAAAATCTCTCTCTACACTGAAAAAAAATTAAATTGAATCAAAAGAAAAATTCTTGAATTAAATAAAATTTACTTAAATCAAGAAAAATTTCTTAGTTCAAGAATTTTTATACTCAAATCAAGAAGATGAAATTCTTCAAAATTATTTACTTGATTCAAGTTAATTTTTTTTTCTGTGTAGTCAAGAGCATAACTTTACTGATAAAAAAATTAATTGTATTCAAGGGAAGAAATCTTGAACGAAGTTGATCATTTTAAAGAATTTAATTGTTTTTAATCAAGCCAAAAAAAAAAGAAATTAAGTTGAGTACACTGATAGAAGGATTTCTTAAAATTTACGAAGATTTTTTTCTATTTAAGAAATAATTTCTTAAATACAAAGAAATCTTTTTAAACACTAAGAAATCCTTCTATCAGTATAAAATTTACTGAAATAAAAAAAAAATTTTTAGTTCAAGAATTTTTCTGCTTGATTCAAAACAAGCTCTCAAAAATAATTTTGAACCAAGATTTTTTCTCTTGAAACAAATAATTAATTTTCTTAATCAGTATTCTTCCCTGATTAACATTTAATTAAACGGTATTTAAGAATTTTATTCGATAAGACCTCATTATAATATATAGCATATCCAAAAGGGCGCAAGAGCAACAGAGCCAGAGCTCGGTGGATATTAATAGAGACCAAGGCCCGGTTCCGCGCCCGCAAAGCTTACACTCTTCTGTATAGTGTGGATATAAAAATATCGCTTTTATTTTTCGTCTTCTCAAGCTCAGTGATGCTCGTATACGTATGCGGCTTTCTTTCGGGATACTTTTACCAAGAAGAGTCCAAGTCAAACAGAACTAAACATATATACATTAAATAATATACACAATTATTTTTTTTTCTATTTCTTCGCTTTATTTCTTCAGACAAGACATTTAATAGCTTTATTTTATTTGTAAATAAAAGTCAATTGGCCTCCAGATCCATTAAATTATTTCTTCAGCGTCGATTTAATCAATCATGGTACTTGCAAGTTGTGTTCGCCAATGAATCATCCGCGACATAACTCATCGGGTATTAATCATTGATATGAACATCTTTGTTTTATTTGCGATCCAACATCTGTTTATTTATTTAATATTTAAATGTCTAGTGTGTGACTGTTTCTTTTATTTCTTTTATTGTGTGTCCACTCTGCTCGGTAGTCGGTATCTTTTATCAGCCAGCGAATCTTATGCATAGAGCACTACACGCGGTTAATGCGGTTTTAAAGGGGTCAGGGAAAGGGGACAAGTTAGAAGGGGAAATTTATTATTTTTAGACTGGTCCCTGATTATTTTTAACCATCATTTCTTATATACTCATACACTCCATCTTGTCTTAACCCTGACTTGATATTACAGCGGTCCCATAACGTCACTAATTTTATTTATATAACACCCTTGTAAATTCTTTGCTGTCTTTTTATTTTTGTTTTCCCGTCATACGCGACATATTGAGTTTCAATCCAAATAAAATATCCCCAAATCAACAAATTGCTTAAATATAAACCCTACTTTTTATTTTTTACAGTGACCCACTTTTAATTGTAGACAATAAATATAAATAAATATATCTATGACGTTTGTCGGCATTTAATTTTTTATTTTTTTTTTTTTCTGCCAGGCTATTATGTAGAAATAACTATGACGTAAATTATAAAATTGTCTAAATAAACTATACTTTTATAAAATTATTTTAATTTTGTTCTTGGCCTCATCTGAGATTAGCGCCGCGTGAGTAGAAAATATCTCCATCTGCTTTGTGAATGAATACGCATATTCAGTCTTTACTATGGACTTTAATACGGTACCTAGGATGTCTCTTAAGTAAAATACTACAGGAGCTTCATAATAATCACTACAGCGGTTATTTTCTATGTTTAAATGAAATTTTTTCAAGCATAAATTTTTAATTTTAACAAAATCAAAATAATTTCGGCCCGAATAAGAATATTCTTGAAATAAGAAAATTTTCTTCCCTTAATAAAATTCGATTTTACAAAAATAATTATTTTTTTTAGTTAAGAAGAATTTTTTGTAAACAATTGATTTTTTCTGTGCATAAATTTAATATTAAAACCAAAATTTTACTATTAAAAATGATAAATAATGATGATAGTACTATATAGACTTATTATCACACTAATAAAAAAATTATTCAAAAGAAAAAATCTTAAACCAAGAAAATTATTTTAAAGAATTTTGTTAAAATTTTTTATCTTAAATCAAATTGATTTTTTTATTAAAGTATTAATTTTTTTTTTTTTTCATGTAGCACATAAATGTATATAAATAAAGATACTAAAATTAACAAATACTCGATAACCTTCAAGATTTTGCCAAAAAGTAAATTATGAAAATAAAAATTTGCATACCAAAATTGTTAAAAAGTACGAATGAAAATTTTTATAACAAATTTTATTTAATAGCTTCTATTCAATCAGTTTTATTTATTATAAAAATTAGTGCTAAAAATTTTTATTCGTACTTTTTAACAATTTTGGTATGCAAATTCTTATTTGCACAATTTTTTTTTTATTAATTAATTATTTAATTATTAATTAATTTATTTTAATACCTGAAAATGGTCAGATATCTGCTGATTTTAGTATTATTATAAATAAATTATTCAAGTAAATAAATTAGCAATTAAAAAACAAATTTTTTGGCAAAAGAGCTCTTGATTGAATAGAAGCTATTAAATAAAATTTGGTAATCGACGTAGTAGGGTGTCTGATGTTTTAAATATGTAGAGCGGAAGCCGATGTTATTAAGTGATACAAAAATAGACGGTTTAAAACTCATCAACACTAGACTATTTGTTGTAAAAGCACACAAGCTTTGAAAATGAAAACAGGTGCTGTCTTGTGCTTTTCATCTATATCAAATTTTTTATAATTTAGTTTAGTACTTCAATGGCACTAGCTAAAACTCTGGCTCTGTTTGCACTAGGTGAATGGAGGCTCCCCGGCAGAAGCAGCTGGTTTGAAAGCTGGCGATGCGGTCATCAGAGTCAACAACACGGATATGTTTAATTTGCGTCACAAAGACGCCCAGGATGTAATCGTAAGATCCGGTAACAACTTTGAGATCACTGTCCAGAGGTCTGTTGAAATAAACAAATTCACTTAAATTTACTTAGTCGGTCACTATAAAGTTATCTTATTGATATTGGTATTTTTACTTACAGAGGAGGTAGCACTTGGCGACCAAGTGTTTCACCTGTTTCTCAGTCAATTCCCTCGCCGCAGCCTCATCTTTCGGCAGGCAGCGTTTCTCCAGTGACTAAAACATCGCTCGCTGCCAAAAAAACCGACGGACATCTTATTGGAAGTGGACATAACTTTAGTCCTAAACCTTATGTATGTTTTTATTTATTTATTTATTCAATTTTTGGAAATATTTATCCTAGCTTTCATTGATCATGATCTATTCGAAATTTTAGCCAAATGGAACAAGCGAAGGACCAATTAAATCAATTGTTAACAAACAATACAACAGCCCAGTGGGAATTTACAGCGAGCAGACAATCGCTGAAACTCTTTCTGCGCAAGCTGAAGTACTTGCCGGTGGTGTTTTAGGGTAACTCTATATAATAATATTTTATACTAAGAAGAAAATTTAATAATTGCACATGAAAGTTAATTAAATTAATTTTATTTTTAGATTATTTATTTATTTTTGCCAAAGCCTTGATGGCCAAATGGCAAAATAAAAAAAAAAAAATACATTTAATTACGGATTCAAAAATATTAATAAAAACAATTTTACAATTATTATAACCACTCTGATTGCAATTATATAAAATAATTATGATTATGGTTTCTCTTACAAACGCATAGACTGAATACATTTACAATATCGAAGTTACTTTTACTTTTTATTAAAGTTTTTTACTTGCAAAATTAAAATTTTTTTCAACTTTTAACTATTCTCACTTTTTTAAAATTTATGATTAATTTTTATTTAAAAAATCAGGCATAAAGTTTATCAAAAATAAAACGATTTGAGAAAAACAATTTTTTTTTTAATAATAAGAATTGTTTTATTTTTAATAAACTTTCAAGGAAGAAAAATGTGAATGAATTTACTCCAATAAAACCAAATTGTTCTGAATTTATTTAATCAAATTTTTAAATAATTTTTTAATATGTTAAAAAATAAATGAAACTATGACTCTAAAATAATTGCCAATTTTTTTTTTTATAAAAAAAAACTACAAATTTTATAACATTAAAGTTACCAGTCACTTTATTTTATATTTTTTGTCATAATTTATTTATTAAAAAAATTATCGAATATCTGCAAAATTAATTTTCGTCAAATTTTAATTTTTTTTGCTCTAAATTAATGAAAAGTTTCTAATGCTTACAATAAATTAAAAACATATTAATTTTTTAGAGTAAACTTCAAGAAAAATGAGAAGAATTACACACCGGAAAACAGCGAAGTATTCAAAATGGTGCGAGAAGCTGACAAGGAGCCAAAAACTCCAGAGCCTAGTGAGTATAAAACAAAAGTTTAAATATTTATTATTATTGTGAAATAAAAGTAGATTGAATGAAAAAATGTAAACACAGCTGACTCAGCGATACACAGCGGAGTAGTGACTCCCTCGTCACCAGCCTTAACTGGACTCAGATCAGTGTCCGCGCCAGAGACTAAACCTCAGCCGACTCCGCCACCCCAGAGCAGCTTGCCACCTGGCCAAAACATTTGCGCTGAATGTGAAAGACTTATTGTGTAAGCATTCAATACCCATTTTATTGCGGATGTAGATAAATAAATATTTTATAGCAATGATAATATTTAATCTATAAATTTGAATAATCCACAGTGGAGTCTTTGTCAGAATCAAGGAGAAAAATCTTCACGTCGAATGTTTCAAGTGCTCAACATGTGGTACCTCCCTCAAGAATGTTGGTTATTATAATATAAACAGTAAATTGTACTGTGATATTCATGCAAAACTTGTTGCGAGACAGCAAGCTCCTGCTGGATATATTCCAGTCACTGTTTCACCGTAAGTATTATTCACACAATTACGATAATGAAAATTTCTCCTAATAATTTTTTTTTAATTTTCACATGTGAAATTTTTTAATTAAATTTTTTTCATAATAATTCCATTGCTATAAAATTAAAATAAAAATTTTTAATGTCTGTCCTATTAATATTCTGTTTAATTAAATAATCAGTAAATTAATCGATTATTTATACTGTAAATAATTACAGAGGAGCTAAAGCACCAGCAAGTACCATTTCAGCAGCACTTGGTAATTTCCAAAGCCAATCACCCATGTCACCAACACCTTTCAGCAATGGTACCAGCTCAACACCTTCTTTCTCCGTGAGTTTTCTTCACAAAATAACTTGAATTTATTTTATTCCAATAACGCTTAATTAATTGCAATTAATATTGTGTAGAGATGACAATTCAAAGAGTAATTACAATTATTGAAATTGACTTATTGATTCTATTAACTTGCGAAACAGACTTAACAAAATTGTGTGTTTTTTTGCTTTTGCTACTAATCGCATTTGCAGAGACGCAAGACGTTCTACCGTCCACCATCGTCTTCCTCGTCGTACACCGTCGATTACTGTGGAGTCTCATCGCAACCGGTTGATCGTACTAGTACCTATGAATCGTTGCCATCTGAAACAAATTACCGGAGTATGGTGAAGAACGAGGCGGTCAACAATCAGCAAAACAACTACAAAACATACACAAGTACCATAACAATTAGGACCGGGAGCGAGGTTGGAAATAAGGATTACTACAGCGACGACACCAATAATACAGTGTGCCTTTGAATAATTAATTATCCATTAATCATTACTATTAATTTTAAATACCAACAGCAACTTTAATCCTCTTATTAATTTCGGATTTTTAAATAATAATAAGATTTTAGATTGATTTTTAGACATTTTTTTGACCTGTTCCTCCCACCTTTTCCAACTCTTAAGGGGGAACATCCCCCTCGTAACGATCGAAAAAAAAAGAGGTGATTTTCGGGAATTTTTTTGACAGGAAAAATAAAAGAATTTGAGGATCGGATTTTTTTTATTTTATTAAGGGTACATTAAAGATTATCACCCTAAATTTTTATTAAAAAATATTTAATTATTACAAAGTTAATTTCCCCCTCTATGGTCAGTTCGATAACTCAAAAACGGACCATCTGAAAATAAAAACCCAAATTGCTTTTTAATAAGTAAGGATGTAGTTATCGTCGCACGTACGGAATTTTGAAAATTTCAATTTTTAAAAAAATAGCGACTGATTGAAAATTTTCTCACTATTCTTACTAGTTTTTTTTGTTTTAACCCGGCTAAAAAAATCTTTAAAAGAAAATTTTTTTTAATTCCGTACGTGCGACGATAACTACATCCTTACTGATTAAAAAGCAATTTGGTTTTTTATTTTCAGATGATCCGTTTTTGAGTTATCGAACTGACCATGGAGGGGGAAATTTTTTCTAGTTCTCCACGAGATTGTTTAATAACTTTGTAATAATGAACTATTTTTTAATAAAAATTTTGGGTAATAATCTTTAATGTACCCTTAATAAAATAAAATAAATCCAATCCCCAAATTCCTTTATTTTCCCTGTCAAAAAAATTCCCGAAAATCACATAAAAATTAAATTAGCCGAAATCTAAAAATTTTTACAATTTTTTTATTAAAAAAATTTCATTTTTAAAAAAACTCTAAAAACTATAAGTGCAATTTTTTAAAAATATTTTTTTGTTTTAAATTAATAATTAAAAAAAAAACTCAAAAAATTAACAGAGTCGGCTAATTTTAATATCATGAAAATCACATGGAAGTAAAGTTAGCCGACATCTAAAAATTTTTATGATTTTTTTTATTAAAAAATTATTGCAAAAAAAATAAAAAAAAATTTTTGCACTTGTTAAAAACTTCAAAAACTATAAATCCAATTTTTTAGAAATATTTTTTAGTTATAATTTAATAAATTAAGCAAAATCAAAAATGTCGGCTAACTTTATTATTATGAAAATCACTTTTTTTTTTTCGATCGTCACAGTGGTGTTCCTCTTTAATTATAAATTAGTGAGTAATTAAGGTGACGATGGAAATGCGAAAAAATAAAAGAATTGAGCAATATCGCATTCCGACAAAATCCTTGGCCTATATATCATAAGCTCTGACAATAAATAATAAGCATTCCAGAAGTTGATTCAGCTTCCTCGACAACAACAGCTACAGCTACGATAACTACGTTATATCGTACAATGCCACAAACTAGAGACTACTACTGTGACTACTGCCAACGCTTCCTCACTCTCTCATTCTCTTGGTCGTATCACCATTATTATAACGTCGCTCGGGACGACAATAAACGACAATAGGCAACATATGTCCATATGTCATTTATTTTCACCGCTTGACTAATTAGCGTGCTATTTGTTGTAATCATCAGCCAATAATTGCTTGTGTGTCTGTTGATGATGATGATGATGATGATGATGATAAGTTGAGTTGAGTTGAGTTGAGGGTGATTATGCCGATGACTAAACACGTGATTGTTGTGTCGTGTTGCATTGCAGCCCAGTCACCTTGGCAGTTCGCCCCGTGCTGATAAATCGCCCAGTTCTAGTCTTGTTCAGGTAACAATCTCAATCACTAAACGACTCTCGACTCCACCACTGATACCACTGTCTCTTTTTTTAAGTTTTATATTTTTCTGGTGAGCATTAGTGTGTTTTTTTTTTTTGCTTTTCTTTTTTTCTTCTTCAGTACCAAGCCTTCATTTTCTTTTACAACATTTTAATACTATAAATAAATCATAAGTGTGATACATATTACATGTGATATTACGTAAACTATTAGTTTAATTAATATAAAGTAAATCCGAGAGAATTATCTGTAATTTTTATGTTAATTATGTCACAGGCAAACATAAGTGGTCCGAAACCTTTCAGTGGGTCCAGTAATTTCGGGCCGACATCCAATTTTACTTCGACTCCGACCTCAAATTCAGTTAACAACAATTTCTCTCGGCCTCAAAGTCAAACAGTCACTGGTAAGTTTGTACCATATAGCTATAAATAATTACTTAGTATTTAATTTTAATACTTAAAAAAAGTAAATATCATTTAATTGATTATATTTAATAATTTATAAAAGTTAAAAAAAAATAATTTATTTAAAAATAAAAATCTTTTAGCTTATATATATTTGCTTTGTTTTTGTGTTAACAGTATAAAAACTATTTTATTTAATAAACCCACGACTTGGTGAATATTTTATGTAAATTCATCTCTACTTAGCTATCATACACTTTATATTAATTAAATTTTCTAAACTATTACCTAATAATGAGATTAAATAAACAGAGTACGCACCCTTTTTTATACACATTTTTGTAAACTTTTAAGTAAATATATTCTTAGAATTTTTATATTTATAAATAACTAAATAAACAACGTTGACAACGGAAACGTTGAAAGCTGCGGTCCACAATAATTGATAATTATTATTAATAAATAACGAAATGTATCATACAATCATCAGTCATAATATTTCCAGCGACCCTTTACTCTTTCAAGCCATATAAAATGCACATACTTTCTTTTTCTTATTCTTTTTTTTCAGCAGCTCATTCATCTTTCAATCCAAAACCTCGACCCTTCTCCCTAAGTCTCGCTTAATTATTTCGCAATATATATTTATATATAATATGACGGAAGGTAGCTCTCAACGATCAAGTCGTCCGCGTTGTCTTAATATATATACTATATACATATAATATATATCTATATATTTATATAATAATAATAATAATAATAATAATAATAATAATAATAATCTGTACATTTTATTTTTTTTATTATTATTTTTCTTCTCTATTATTTAAAATTGTTATTTCTTAAAAACAAAAATAAAATAAAATACATTATCAGTTATTTACAAACGAAATATCGATTACTTTAATTAGTTTTCTCAGAATAGTGTGTAGAAGTGTGGCAATTTACAAAAAATATTTATAGTATGCTTTGCTTCTTATTAATTGCTTATTTATTTTTTCTTTCTTTTTTTTTTTTTCTGCTCGCCTAACTTACGCCTCAATCTATCGCTGCTAACAAATGTTTGTATTTAATTAACCAACTGTTTGTATAAAAATTCCCGCAATTTTCTCCATCGGAAATCCTACTGTACTTGCTGTACTTGCTAATTAACACAACCCGAAAATTCCTAAAAAAAAAAGAATCTTATCACGCGGAATATAACTATTTGGAGGAGAAGGACATAAAAGGAACACCAGCTCCTAGCACAGCTGACGAATACTCCCGACCTCCGTCGTCGGTACGAAACAAGAGCTTGCAGTGGCCGCCTGTTAAAAGTCTTGAAGACGCAACCTATCCTACAGCAAGTCCCATTTGGATCGACCCGAACCCAGTTTTAGACCGACGTTCAAGGCACATTGTCCAAGACAGACAAGTGGAGCTTAACGAAAACGCCTGTCGGCGAAGCGAAAGCGTGAACCGGAGAAGAGAAGCTAACAGACGCGAAGAATTCAGCCATTGTAATTGGGGAGAAGAACCAATGGAGAACAAGCCAGTTTGCAGTGCGCCATTTTATCGCAAGACAACGACCACCGAATGCTCGGAAGTCCGACAATCTCGAAGCTCGAGCTTAAACCGTCCAGGATCTGCAGAAGGTGTCAGAAGATCCTTGACGCCTACCAGAATTAGCCAACCCGTTCCACAGCCCTGGACTGGTTCCACTGAATTGAGCTCTTATCGACATGTTCAGGCCCCAGTGCCTCCAGAACCGCCAATTTGTCGCAAAGTTTGCACCTGCGAAATCATCTGTGAACGAATAACTGGTCCAGGAGGGCCGGAACATCAACAAGATCATGTTTACCGAGAAGTTAAGTGCGAACTGTGCAATCCACCGCCTTGTATGCAGGTAACTGATTACGACCAGGAGCAGGAGATTGAAGAACCCTGCGAGATTCTCGAACAACAAACCGATTCGGAGGTTGTAGATCTGTCAAAAGTCGTCCCTCCAGATGTGGCAGTGTGTCCCAAGGGTGTGGAAAATCAACACAACATGCACACCGAGATTATGGAGAAGGATGAGGGCAATATTCATATCAAGAAGACTACTATTTATGAAAAGACAGTGGAAATTGTCTCTCCGAGCGAGTCACCAGCCAATGACAATGAAGTTGAAAACTGGTCTGGCAGAAGACAACACGTTGAGTCGGCAGATAAAATTTCGTCGTTTATTGAGACCAAGAAGATGATTGAGGAAGCCAGGCAAGAAGAACTTAAGCATCGCGAGGCGTATGAAGAAGAGTGCAGACGTGAGGAGGAAAAGATGAGAAGAGTGCAAGAGGAAGAAGAACGCCGAGAAGCTAATCGGTTGAAAATTTTGCAAGCTGAGAAGGAGGAAAAAGAGCGACGGATTAAGGAACAAAAACGAGAAACTGAAATGCGCATTCGCCAGGAAGAAGAAGAAAGATTTGGAAAGCATGTTAGCTTCTCGCAAAATCAGAGCTGTGATTATCAAAACCAGAACAACAGTCGAATTATGTCCGCCGAGCAGCATTACCGCGAGCTCAAAGAAGAAATAAAGGTCCAGGACACTGAAAGAACCGAACAGGAGCGCCGTGAAACTCTTCGCCAGCAGGTTGAGATTCACAAGTGTCTGAGAGAACAACAGGCTCCGGAAAGGCGCCAACAGCAATCGAATCTCCAAGAACGTCGGATTGAAAAACGGTTCCGACCTCAGTCACCGCCTCACGAGTCTTCTTCGTCCGCTTGTCAGCGTAAGCACGTGCAATTCGTTAAGCAAACCGAAAGCGGAACTTGTCAGATGCAAACTCCAGTTCAAAATTCAACACCCAAAGAATGGAAGTCGGAAATGGTGAAAGCGCTGACTACTGCTCCAACCAGGCCTTACTCACCGCTTCATCCGTCAAACATGCAAACGGGAGGTCAACACTACCAGGAAGACAACAGCTGCTCCAGCAAGACAATGTACTCCAGTGAAGTACGGTACGAAGAAACCTGCCGAAGTTTCCCTCCGCCACCACAGCCTCCACAGCCGTATGTCCCCCGACCAGGATCGCCATTCGCAGACGCTCTGACTATCGCACCCGAGCGTCCTTACACGCCTCTCGGTGAGCGCTCAGTCAAAGGCTGCGAGAATGTTATTTGCGTCGACAGAGAAGACACGCCGATAAATCAGTCAACGCCTCAAGGATACTGCCACCCCGCTGAAATTTTGTACACCGACTCAACGGAGCGTCAATCACGATCGCGAGAACGCAATCTGAGCAGAGTTCAAGGACCACGTCCCTTGCCAACGCCACCAACTAATTATAAATTCCGCGACGCTTCTCCCTCGCCCGCTAGAACTCTCTCTCGTTCGACGACTCCCCGAGATCCGGGTCTCCCGGCAGCGCTGAAAAGACCCGACACTATTCCTTCCTACCAGAAACACTTGATCACAGAAGACTATGACCCCATTGACGCTCAGCCCTATGTTCCAAGCAGATCACCAACTCCTTGTCGCTCAAAGTCACCAGCCCCAGGGCCAGCTTATCTACCGAATCCTCTTCAACACAACTTGGGCCGCAAACCCTATCATTCAAATGTGCCCAGCTACGACCAGCCGTCTTCTGAGTCTTACTCGTACAAGGCCCAGTCTGCTTCAGCTTCTGCTTCATACTCTTGTCCCGAACAGCAAAGCAAGCAAGTTACTTACCGAGCTCAACCTCAGCAGAGTGAAACTCCAAAGAACCAGTACTCGGAAAACTACGGCATGAGGAGCTATGTCTCTGAAGATCACTCTGAAAAGCAGTGCAGTCGGACGTCTTACGCCGAAAAGTACAAGCGCATTGAAGAGAAACAGCTGGAGGCTTGCCGGCAGAGTGAGATGCAGCTTTCGAAATCCGAGGAGTCATTGGTTGATGACTCAACTTGCACGATATCGAAAGTATCTCGTAATCCTCCGTCGCTTCCTTGCCCGGTGGTTGCTTCACACTCGAGCGTGTCGGAGAGAATCCAACGGACCGGAGTCCGCGTGCTTCCAACTCCGTGTGAAACAACGACCGCTAGCTACCAGGTCTGCGAGTCAAGGCCGATTTGCCACTCGCAGAACGAAAGCAAGTGTCCGAATACCGGAGTGACTATTTTGCCTTGCAGAGCTGTTTCCGATGCTGGGAGCAGAGCGGGGATTGTAATTGTCCCTTGCGAGGGCTCGGATGCTCAGTGTCCTCAGACTGGAGTGAGAATCACTCCGACACCTGACAGAGGTCTTTGTGTCTCTCCGGTAGCTCACGGACGATCTTCCGGCAGCTGCTACGGAAGCGATAATCCAAGGGCTGGAGGGTGTGCTATTGATGTGGGAAACTGCCCGGGCTCGGGAGTTAAAGTCGGGACTTGTGCTGACGGGTCAGTCTGCGTAGCTCCCTGCAAAACCTCTGGATGTCCGAAGCCGATTCTCAAGTGTCCTGCCAAGCCGGTTCCTTTTCCCCACATCCCGCTTCCTCAACCGGAGGACGTTGGTTGCAGCTCTTGTCCGTTGAAAAACCAGCAGGAGTCCAACCCGCCGAATTCAAACAACAGCTTCAAGCCGATTAATGGGCAGCCTCGCACTAACCTGAGTAACCAGCTTACGCGTTTGACTGTTCGCCGGGACAAACAAGTCGTTCAGCTGTTTAAGCCGCAGCCTCAATCCCAACCTTGTACTGACGGTGTGCACTGTCAGCCAAACGTTAATCGTTCTTGTTCTGACGGTGTGCACTGCGAACCGGACCCCTATCGCTCCCTGGCTCCTCAACTAAACCCCAACCCCTTTTCCGCCTCTTCGAATCCTGACCCGTTTAGAAAAACCCAGAACTTAGTAGATCCACCGAATTTCTCCGACCCGAATTTAGGTAGCGGAGTTGGAGGGCCTTCTAGTGGAGGAAACTGCAAATTCGCTGGAAGCTCTGCACCCAAACGCGGTCGAGGAATCCTCAATCAGGCTGGAGCTGGCGGTCGACAACCACTCTGCGGTTTTTGCAATTCATATGTCAGGTTTGTCAAATTTTTATGGAGAAGATTTATAAATTAAATATTCTTCAGTGTAATTTTAATCTCTAAGATTTTAAGGAAATTTTACTTTGTTCTAGTACAGATAATTTATCAATATTTTTTTTTTTAATTTAGTAATTTATAATAGAATTTTTATTTAATTATTTAGTAAGTGGAGGGCTTACTTATTTTTGGCCATAAAATTTTTTTGTGAAATTTTTGGTCATAATTTGCTTATTGAAAAAAAAATTTTTTTTATAATTATTAGATGTTTGAAAATTTTAATTTTGTTTCTATTATTATTTTATAGTTTAAAAATTAAAAAATTGAATCCTCACTCCTGCATAATTACCATTATTTTGATTTCATAATATCTGTAATGTTAAACTTTCAAGACATTATTATTAATCGATCCAATATTTTTTTATTACATTGAGAGAAAACAATAATTATATCCAGAAAAGAATTTCTTGATTCAAGAGTTTGTTAAAATTAACAATTTAATTTTTTTTGAAAGAAGAATATAAATATCTATTTTCAGTATTTTAAGAAAACAAACTAGTAGCTTCACTTGAATGAAATAAAAATTATTTTAATCAATTCAAACAATTCTTCAGACAAAAAGGTATATTAATTTTTAATTTTAATTTAAAAAACATAAATTTTTAATAAAAGTAATTTTTTTTAATTAACATGAATGATTTCAGTGAAAAATATTAATTTTTTTTTTTTTCTTCTTTTGGCAGAGGTCCATTCATCACTGCTTTAGGGCAAATCTGGTGCCCAGAGCACTTTGTTTGTGTGAACACACAGTGTCGTCGACCGCTTCAAGATATTGGATTTGTCGAGGAGAAAGGGCAACTGTACTGTGAATACTGTTTCGAACGTTTCATTGCTCCCTCGTGCAACAAGTGCAACGGGAAGATAAAAGGTGATTGCTTGAATGCGATCGGAAAGTCGTATCACCCTGATTGCTTCAGCTGTGCTTACTGCGGGAAAATCTTTGGAAACAGTCCATTCTTTCTCGAGGAAGGATTGCCGTACTGCGAGGCCGGTAAGAACTAAGAAATCGATATAGACAATGTCTCTTTTTCACGAATATTACTTACTTTGTTACTCTCTCTCTCGCTCTGTGATTTGTTTACAGATTGGAACGAACTCTTTACAACGAAATGCTTTGCCTGTGGGTTCCCCGTCGAAGCTGGCGATCGCTGGGTAGAAGCTCTCAACAATAATTACCACAGCCAGTGCTTCAACTGCACGGTACCTGCCTATTATATTTTATATTTCTTCACGACTATTTTTAGTCGATATAAATTTATTCCTGTTTTTAACTCTAATAATTACTCTATTTATTTTTTCAGATGTGTAAAAAGAATCTTGAGGGCCAGAGCTTTTATGCCAAAGCCGGTCGACCCTTCTGCAAAAATCACGCACGCTAAGCTCACAATTATAAAAATAATTTAACAAAATTATATTGCTAATATTGATTTAAAAAAAAAAAAAAAAAAAGAAGAAATAAAAATAAATATTTTAGGCTAATAATAAAAATATAATAATATAATACAGAAGATACAATACAAGAACAGTTAAATATTTATTGTTCCGTAAATAATAGCTTCAGCAACTTATATACTATATATTTATTTTATTTAAAACAAATTAAATATATTTGAATATTAATAAGCTTATGTGTTATGAGTTTAATCGAATGCTAACTGTACAGAGAATAAGTTTAATGATTGTCTGTGAATCGAATCAGAATTCTATTTACTGATCTATGGTTAAAATAATAATAAAAAAATAATCATATTGCTTTATTCAACTATAATGATGGGCACTTTATTAATAAGTAACTGAAGAATAACTAGATCATTTTGAATTTTTAAAGATAAGATTGATATAATAACAACTATAAAATAAAAAGCTTATGATTTGTCGCGTGTTCTCTTGGGAATAAATATATTGTATATTTATAAAAATATTAATAATAATTATTAATGACATAATATATTTTACGAGGGGATAAAACTTTATGAAGCTATGATGCACACGCAATAATTAGATATTACGACAAATTTACAATTGTTAATTACATCCGTACGATATATATTTTAATAATAATTTGTAACAAACGGTAATTACGGAATATTTATAAATATACGTAAATATAGAATCCGATAAATATAAATGTATTATAAGACATAGCAAGTTATTTAAAACAAATGTCAAGACGGATTTTATTTAGTGCACATACCATCTAGAGCATCTCTTGCAAAAGCAAACATAAAACTTTTCAAATAAATAATTACACTGTGCCAATGAAATTGTTCTTGACAATAATAATTACCGCAAAAACGAATCAATTAAATGTATTAATTTATAACCAAAGATTTACAACTGCTAGATGAATAAACGGGAAGAAATAAATGATAAATAAAAATTTATTATTTTTAATTATCGCGGAATAGAAAATAAACTCTGTATTGTGTTGCTTAAAATAAATAAACATAGTTATATATATGATAATAATTTATTTATTGAATAAAGTCCTTAGTCTCCTCCTTTTATTCTTACATTAGAAATTTTTTTACATTTTAATTTAATTTAACAATTAAATTATTATAAAAAAATTTTATTGTAAAATTTCACATGTGAAAATTAAAAAAAATTATTAGTAGAAATTTTTGGAAGCATTTTTTTTTTTAATTGTAAGTGTTTTAGAAAAATTATTGTTGATATTTTTTTATTTTCTAAGTGTACAAAGTGGAAATTTGACAATACTTTTACAAACTAAGTAACAAATTTTTTATAAATAGTATGCAAGACTATAAAAAAGAAAATGGATATGTTTAGGTGATTCAACATTGTGATTTTTTATATTTAAAATATTAATTGAATGTTGAATTTTATTATATAAGTAATTGAAGGAATAGAAATAGAATTGAAAAGAAATAAAAATAAAAAGTAAAGCTCAAAGTTTAAACTTTGATGCGATCTGCGAGAGAGCAGCTGAGTCCAGTGTTGTCAGGCTCAATGTTAACTTCCTTGACGATTCCGTCCTCAACCACCAGAGAGTAACGCTTGCTACGAGTACCACCCAACACTGCGAGATCCATAGCCACATCAAGAGCTTTTGTGAACTCAGCGTTGGTGTCTGCTAGCATTCTCACCTTTAATTATTTTATTATTTACATAAATATTCAAACGACCAATTACAGTAAAGATAATTAATTTTACCTTGCCTGCAGCACCTTGGTCTTTTCCCCAAGCTGACATAACAAACGGATCGTTGACGCTAACGCAAGCTATCTCATCTATGCCCTTTGATTTTAATTCGTCAGCTTTTGTTACATATCCAGGTAAATGTGTCTGAAATTGTTGAAAGAATTATTATCATTATTAATATTAATATTGATTAAAAATAATTGTTATGTAAAGAATTACTTATGTCTAGATTGAAACTTTTCGCAAGTAATAGTTATAGATAAATAAATTAACATTTATATTGATTATGCCATAACTTTAAAGACTATTATAAATATAAATACACTTTTAATTTGTTCTATTGTTAAGTCCTTGCATAAGCATATTTTATTAGAAAACTTTTTTACTCAATATTTATTTATTATTTTTTTTTTTAAATTACTCCAGAAAATAAAAATAAAAAATAGTCATATGTTATAATCATTATCATTTAAAAAATTCCTGATATTTTCTAATCATCTGTTTTTATCTACGGATAAAATATAAAATTATCTACAGCATGAAATGCAAAAAAATTATGAAAATAAAGTTAGCCAACATCTAAAAATTTTTATGATTTTTTTATTAAATTTTTTTTGTTTGTTAAAAACTTCAAAAACTATGTGTAATTTTTTAAAAATATTTTCTAGTTATAATTTAATAAATTAAGCAAAATAAAAATATCAGCTAACTTTATTATTATAAAAAAATTAATTACTAAATTACTTAATAATTTAAAAAGTTAAGTTAAATATATAACAACCTTTGAACATCCAGGAGTAAAGGCACCAGGAACGCCAAAAATAATAATTTTTTTTCCAGAAACAAGCTCAGCTGAATTTACTTTGTTGCTGGGTGCATCTTCATACAAATCAACTGAGGGCAGCTTGTCACCAACCTATTAAATACAAACTATATTATTATTATTATTATTATTATTATTATTATTTTAATAAAAGATAATGTCAATAATTAAAAATAAAAAAAAAACTTACGGAGATAACCATGGCTCTAGGAGAAACGTGAAAACCTCGTTTAACACAGGACAACGACGAGCGTCCTACAATGGCAATGGCGCGACTGATGTATTGAGTCATCTGTTTTACGTTATTGTATACTTATATACAAGTGCACTTTTAATCGATAGTATTTTTTTTTCAACTCTTTAGTTTTCAGGAAATTATAGAAATTGTCTGAGCATGACAACCTCGAGCCGGCTTTTAATGACTTGCTTTACGCAATATCACTCGATTGTTACATAAATCAACAATCGACTTATTTTTAATTACTAATTGATCAATATTCCATTTGTCTGTGTGAGTGGATTGTCTTTTGTTTATTTTTTTACTCCAATTATTAAAATTACAGAAATATTTAAAGTTTAGATTATTTATCTGTTAACTAAATGCTAATTATTATGTCTCGTAAAAAGTGTAGTGTACAATTGAATAGATGTCTAAAAAGTGTTAGATAAAAAACTAGAAGTTACCGGTAAGACGAGGTGGGATTGTTTTTTATCTCGCAAGCGACAACAGCGCCGTCTTTTCTTTTTTAATAAATTATTACACTTTCAAATTGCGCGCGCTAGAAATATTTCGCGCGTAGTTTTTAAACAGCCAATCAGCGCCAAGGTGCCGCCATTTTTCAGACTTCGAATTCATGCGTAGTGTTACTGCGCATTAACGGCCATTACGAGTTCCGGGTGACACGAAAATGTTTAGCTCCGTGTTTTTTTAGCGTATTTATTGTTTTTTTAGAGTTCTTTCAAGTTCTTTAACAGATTTTAATAAATTTTTTGGTCGCGCGCGTTAAATTCACGCTGGATATAATAATTTATAAAAAACATTAACGTTTTATGTACGCAAATAGTAATTAAAGTCAGTCGCGAGTGTCTTGAGTGAAAATCAGAGTTGTGTGTTTGTTTTTTAGGTTTTTTGTAATTGTTTTAGTGCGGGAGTGTTTTCGTTTTATTTTATTGTGAAAAAAAAATTTAATTTAAAAAAAATAAAAAAAAAATTTTTTTCTTTGTGTCAAGGTCATTTATACTACAGCTTACTGCGCAATTAATTTCATGATCCAAATTACTTATTAAATGATAAAAGAATAATTAGTAAGTAGTCAATTTACTGTCTTGTAATTATATTTTTTTTCACTTTTTACTAATTACTTATTTTTATTACAGGAATTTCCAGAGAGAGAGAAAAAAAAAGATAAAGGCATACAATGGTGAGTGGTATTTTTAAAATGTATAATTTTATGATTTAATCCAATTTAATTGATAATTTTTAGTAGAATAATTATAAAAATAATTTTTTAATTATTTGTTAAACAAATATTATTTTATTATTTCTAAAAAACAGTGAAATTTTTTTTTGAATTTGAGGTTAGTAAACTAGAGCTCAACTTAACCTTCGAGCTTTCTCATAAACTCAACAGATGTCGTTACTAGTCTCACAAAAAATTTTGTACAAAAAATTTTATTAATCAATATTTTATTTTCTAAAAGAAAATTCTTTTCTTTTTTTTTAAATAAAATTTCTATTTTTTAAAATAAAATTTCTACTTTTTAAAATCTGAAAATTTTTTTACTAAAAAAAAAATTTAGAAAGCTAGTTCAAAAGGATCAAGTAACACGATAGTAAGGGGTTGAATAAAATCAGAATTACCTATACTAGGCCTTGCCTTGAACTAGGGTCTCTTTCTTTCTTTTCATTATTTTTTTCTCCAATTTTTTCTTGACATTGAATCTGACACGCCAAGGAGGAGCGATTCGCATCCGGGTCATTAAAAGCGGCCCTTGTGAACTCCAATTTTCAGAAGTAATAGGAATAATATCTGTATTTACTAAATTAAATGATCGAATTTCAAAATATTCCGTCTCTATTTAATGTCAATATTAGCCCTTGGATCACAAGATAACTAAAAATTAGATTACCTGTCGTGATTGTTTTGGAACTTTTCAATCAAGCGGGTCTTTTCAACCGGTTAAAAATTTTAAATTTTATTCAGAGACTCGTACTTTATAGTATTAGGGGTGATCCATAAATATTCAGCGCAAGTGTCAAAATCAAGGGCTTCGTCAATATCTATATACCAATTTATAAATAAAAGGCTTCTTACTTATACGCAGTGTGTAGTGTGTAGGGCATTTATTTTATGTAAGTCATAAGTTTGCTTCCACGTCATACATCATGTCAATTATAATCTTTGGCAGTGTTTTATATAAATTCATAACTTGATTACACACATTGAATTGCACACGTGAGGCATCTTGACGCATAACGTCAGCAATTTAATATTTTTGCAGTATAAATTATAAGTATATTAATTTTTTTTTTGTTATATCATGCATTGAGAAGCTTTAGATGTTTTATTAGAAACTCTTCTAAGATCACTTTAGGCTTTTTTTATTTTTAAAACAATTATTGCTTGGGTTAAAAATTTTTTTAATTATTTTTGAAGAAAAAAATCAATTTTTGAGAAGAGAAAATATTTTGTTGGCCCAAAAAAATAATTATTTTGAGCAAAATAAATTTTTTTTTGTGTACTAAAAATTTCCTCTTTTTCTGTTCAAATGTGTAGTTTTATTTTTACTTAGACTCGACAAATTAATGATAAATTATTTATATAACAAGGTAAGTTAGATAAATAATTAAAAATAAATAATTTATATTAAGATTTAGATATTTAGACAGTTTTATTAGTCGGGTATTAAAACAAGTTTGTTACAATAGTTATATACCATAAAGTATATTTTAGCTTACCAAAGCAAAACGTATTTATACATGTCTAGGTGTTAAAACAGGATTGTAAAGCGAACACAGAACTGTCAATTATAATTTAGTTCGTGTAAGTGTGAAAGTTCGTGTCAAGATCTGCTGATTCAGTCTTTTCTGGCTCGCGTTTCTCTACTAAATTTCTCGAAAATGTCACAGCGATTCATATCATACCTCACAGATATACAATACTTGAATTTAATTATCATGTCAAATAAATAAATACATAAATACATATTAACATAATTATTCCTTTATTCACTAAAACTAAAACTTAATAGTTTTACTTGCGTCAGCCGATTTATATTTTTATTTATTTTTATCCTTGCAACAATGCAGTAATACAAGATGTTACACAACCTGGTATGAATATATACCGTACGGAAAAAGCTGGGTATTGATATTATTTAACAAACAAGCCGGATGGTCAGCTTAATCGGCTACTGTTTCACTTTGTAATTTTAATACTGAAAAAGGTTTTTATTAAGTTTAATAAAAAACAAACTAATCTTTTTTTCGTTCTCAAGCCTCTAAATTAATTTTAATTTATTATAAATTGTAATATTCATCCTCAATTTCGTACATTCATAATAAAAAAAAAATATCAACCGTTTGATAAAAAAAAAAGTAATAATAATTGAATAAAAAATAGATTAAATGGATCAAACATACAAAGCGTTTTTCGGAGCGTGAAATCGAACACATAGAAATATTTTCCAGTGTAGCCATGTATATAGTTAATGTCTGGACAGTATATATGTTTGAGCAACCAGTAACTAGTACCAGAATTTTTCTACTTTAATTGATTCAATCGGCGAAAAACACGGCGGTCGAGTCGTTTTACGAGTTTTCCTTCCCACCTCGAGTGGATGTGGCTTTAGCCGCCTTCATCCCCTAAAGCCAACCGCTGTAACGAGACGCCAAAGCCAACCCCTCGAGATCCCAACCCCTAAGCGATTTTCTCCGTTGTCTTTCTCTTTATTGCGATAGTTCTTTCTCATACAAAAGAACTTACTGAGATCTCTTCTTCTAAACTTGCAGTGTTGTACAATCCTCAGTTTCTCTTCTTGTGATTTCGGAACTCCCCCTAGGATATTGTAGAATCCGGCGGAGGCCCCTCAGGAGCTCGCGATATAATATGGAAACATTTATACACATTGAAATGGGGGAAGAAATGTTGTGGTCTGCGGGTGGTGATGAATTTCCTCTTGTGTATTTACATATATTTATATATATGCATTCACGACGGGGATAGGGGTGTGAAAAGTTTTGCTGGGGGTAAAACACCGTAAAGACTTCGTGCAAGTACGTTTATTATTTTAATTAGAGCCTTTGGGTTCATCCAGATAGCTGTCGTGCTATGATGAGTGTCACTGTCACTGAGAATGGTATTTTATCCGTTTATAATTCGTTTTACTTTGTAGGTTTTTATTTGTCAGACCAATGCTATACTAAAGAAGACATGTTTCTTTTACAAAGATTTTTTTTAATTACATTCCATAATATTTTGTTACAAATATTTTTTTTCTCAGTGAATTTTTATTATATTTTTTTAGGTAAAAATTGTTTTAAATATTTATTATAATTATAATTAAAAATTAAACTTTTGTTGGATAATTTAGTTCAATAATTTTGATGTATTTTCAATTATTATTTTCGAATAAATTATTATTGAATTTTTCCATTGAAAATAAAAATATTAAATATTTTGGGCGGAATAAAGCGCTGTATATAAACTTGAATAGTTTATGCTTGAATAGGTCTCTTAAAATCTTAAAAAAAAATTCAGAGAAACATAATAACTCCAGAGTATTTCTTCGGTCAATATAAATGAAAATCGGTTGAGAAATTGAAGAGCGGAAAAAAAATTATGCAAGAAAAAAATCCAGTAAATCTTTTTGGTACCTAAATTATTCCAAGAGTCGAGTAATAATAAATTCATAAATAATATTTATAATCCCAAAAGGTCCGTTTTTATATTTTTTACAGCACATATTTTTGTTTTCCTCAAAAATGAACGGTTCAATAGACATAAACACAATTTTTTACCTCTGGAAGGGTTTTTTACCTCTTTCGCTGTAAAATAGAAGGGTTATATTCTAAATTGTAATTTATTGGGCATAAATAAATTACCAAAGACATTAAAAAGAAAATATATACTCTTACGCACATGTTTTTCCGATGAAAAAAAGTCCTTGGTCATTAAAAGTGCAGATGTTTTTGAGCAAAGCTCCAAAAATTTTCTCTTTCAACAATAGCAATAATTCACTCGGACTTACTTCGAAAATACTATCTAATTAAGCAATTAATTTTGTAAAATA